ATTTGCCAATCCTTTTCGACACCATATTTTTAGAAAAGATTTATATGTTTGGCTTACATTATTACATATGATCCCTGGGGGGGATTTACTCCTACAGCAGGTGCAGGAATACCACTTGGGAGCTTGATTGACAGAACACTTGGAGGCAGTCCTTGCAACCCAAAAAAGTTATTTTTTCCACTACAGAGTGTTTCCATTGGCTCACTGTTTGCAGGTGTACATTTGCCACCAACACCCTATTACATAGATGAATAATGATTAATAAAATATCAAAACCAAATATTGTAAAATTATCTTTCAGTTTATTTCAAAAGTTATTCAAATAAAATTATAAGTCTATATATATGATTGCAATCTGCAAGAGACAGAATATATTTTTGTAAGAAAGAAAAATTAAATCAGAAAATTATGTAATTTTTAAAAAATTGGCGACCGATAACACTGCTTAATACAATTTATAAAATTGGTTCTGGATGCATAGCGAATAGAATAAAAATATTTTTAGACAAACTTATTAACACTGACCAAACAGGATTTATAAAGGGCAGATTTATAGGAGAAAATGTAAGACTAATTTATGATATAATGCAATATACAGAGGAGAATTAAAAAACATTTCTGGGCTTATACTCCTTTATCGATTTCGAAAAGGCTTTTGATTCTTTCGTTGTCTTGGGTTTTTGTAGATAAAACGTTTCACTTTTTAATTTTGGAGAAGACATCAAAAGATGGTTTAACATTTTCTATTAAAGATGGGATTTCAGCAATATGCAAATGGGATTTTTTTATCAAAGTTTTCTTTAGCATTCACGTGGGTCTCGGCAAGGTACCGTTAAGTTGTTATATTTTTATTTTTATGGCTGAAATACTTTCGCAAAAATTAGTCAAATAACAATATTAAAAAGGAATTAAAATGAATTTGGTAGAACAAAACTATCTCAATGTCGCAGATGAGACTTCAATTATTCTAGACTGGTTCGGCCTCTTCTTTAAATGAAACCTTAACACATTGTCCACTTTTACTTTTATTTCTGGTTTGAAAGTTAATTTTGACAAAAACAAAAGTCGTCTGGATTGGGAAAAGAAAAATGTTAGTGCAAAAAGTATTTAAAAACAAAATGGAAATTATCTTGAATCAGCAAAAAATTTTGACTGCTTGGCTTTATGTTTCATGTAGATTTGTCAAAAAAGATAGATTTAAACACAAAATCTAAAATTGCAAAAGCAGAAAAATTTTTAAAATGTGTGAAGAGAAGAATAATTACACAATTGGGAAGAAATAATTTGTCATAAAACTCTTTACGTCACTCTTTAATCACTTGTTTGTTTCTTTGCCTAATCCTCCAAAATCTTATATTCAACAATAAAAACTTTTTCTTTGATTTTATATGGCAAGCGTCGTGCAAAGTTAAAAAAACGTTTTTGATAAAAAGAAAAAAGATGCGAGGTCTCGACATGATAGATTTAAAAATGCTTTATATCTGCATTAAAATAACTACTTGGCATAAACGAATCATTTACGAGCAACGGAAAAATGGCTAGATTATTGTTTCTAAATCTAATAGAAAGATAAATTATTAAATTGTGGCTCTCATTACCCAGAAACCGATAGCGAAATCCTGTAAAAACTTATTTTGGAAAGATACTTTATAAATGCTTTTGTTCAATTATGTAAAAAAAATATCCCATTTTCCGATTAAATTTGGAATATCCCCATTATTTTTAGTAACCCCAGTATATTGGATTGGAAAAAAAAGTATATTTTTAAAATCATGGTTTTAATGCTGGTGTCCATGTATAGGGTGTACTTGTTTAACATGAATGGGGTTTATATGAGATCCATGAATTCAAAAAAATTTTAATTTGAGTGCAATTTTTTTGCTTTTCCATTTAAAGGTATTTAAAAATATTTTAAAAGTTTTGGTTATCTATTGGGAATTTTAAATATGTTTCAAGACCTTTATTCCACCAATGCTTTCAGAATTAAAAAATAAAAGGGGGTTCAAAAACCTATGCAAATAATTAAAATCAAATAACATACACTTTTTTTAAAAACTTAATAACAAAAATTTAAAATACAAATTTTGATGATAAAAATGAATAAATTTTTTTATTTTTTTTAAACCACTAAAAACAGAATTTACAATGGTTTCAATACAGAATTTACACAGAATACTTGCACAAACGAACTTTGTATAAGTACAATAAAAGATAATCCAAACTGCAGTTTTTTGCAACTTTTTATAAATCTTAACATTTTTTGGGACTGTGAATTTGTTTTGTTATGATTCATGGTCTTTTTGAAAAATACTCATTTACATTTGACAAGAATAGAATTTTCTTTTTAGGAATACAAATGTTTGATAATAAACTATATCTCTATTGCTAATTATTTGTCAAGAAGTATATATATTTTTGTAAAATGAATTTTAAAATACCGATTCTATAGAGGCTGCTAAGCATTTATAAAGTACCAAACTCGAAATTGAGTAGAGAAACATCAAGAAAAATATTAACAAATATAGATATTTTTATACAAAAAAGTGGGACAGTTTGAAATATTATTTTCATCTTACTTTATACCACAGATTAGTTGTTGTGTGCGAATGATTGTGTTGTTTGATTATGTTTATATTATTTTAAACACAATATGACTAGAAACAGTTTTTATTCATTAGACTACAGGCTACAAAACATATTATTAAAAGTTAAGTGAGATTATAAATTAATCACAGGAGCTTCTATTTTTTCTTAAGTACCTTGTGGTTTTTTTTTGTTTGTTATATTATGTATTCTTTGTATGTATGTATGTTTGTAGTATGTATTTATCTGTGTTCCGAAAATAAACGGCGTTACCATTTAAGGCCTCAAAAAAAAAAAAAAAAAAAAAAAAAATATGTAAAAAATAAATAAATAAAATATTTTAAGATAATATTCTTCATTTGGCTTAATAAACTAATTCGTTAACTTCCTTAAGTTCGTAACTTACAAAACCTCCTTTACTTCCTAAATTTCTTAACTAAGTTCTTAATGTTAGTAATTTCTTAACTTAAGTAAGTTCTTAAAATTTAACCTAATGTTTTACAAAATATCATCTTAAAATATGAGATCTATACCTTGTGCTTTCTATCATCTGTTATAGGTAAAGTTTCCTTTCAGCTTTCCTTATTCCAGGTGCATCATTTATATCATCATATCTATCTCTCCTCTGTATGTCCCGATTTCCTTGCTTCGATCTTTCCCTGCTCTGTATTTCATGATTTCCTTGCAAAGCTTCTTTACCTTTATTATCAGATCCCCTACTTCTGTATGAATCATAACGTTTATCCCTTGACCTACTTTCATAGTTCTTTTTTTCACTGGATCTTGACCTATCATCTCTTTTTCTACTGTTTTCGCTATCAACTTCTCTACTTCTATATCCCGTACCGTCTCCACTCCGTCTGTAATCAGCAATATCTTCGATGTCATCCTCGGCTCCAAACAAGAAGTCCTCGTACAGCATTCCGCCATCTTGTGACTTGTTGTCACCATGTTCTACCATCTCTGGAAACTCCTCCATATTTGCCATATCATCACCATAGTGATCATATTCTTCGCTCCTAGAGTCGAATCTCTCATCTCTTTCACGGTGATAGTAATTGTCATAGAACTTATCTCTTTCCCCTTCCTTGTAATTTGGCTGCACCCTGTCTCCATAGTAACCAGTTCTCTCACTTTCTCTCTCTCTGTATCCAACATCTCTTCTTCTGTCGGTTTCTCTTTCTCTAGCGTCTCTGCTAAATTTTTCAAATCTGTCGTCAGTTCTTCTTTCATTCTCATCTCCATGCCTGCTTGTTTGATACGTGTCAATGTCTCTATCACTAGATCGAGTAGTATGACCGTAATCGAAAACCTTCGGAGACTGTGAATACCCGTCATGTGCTTCTACGCTTCCACTTCCGTATCTCTCTAGAGATTCCTGCCATCTCCTGCTATAATCCCTCTCATCTCGTCTTGCCGTTCTGTTCTTACTGTCCTTATTATAAGCATCGTACTCGTCAACATACGGAACATTTTCATTTTGAGACTTCTTGTTATCCCACTTATCGTCATGCGACCTTGACATTCTACTGGAATCAGGAGGTTTATCATCATTAGGATCACAACCACTATAGTGCCATCTCTCGGGGTCATACTCGTTTCCTCTCTCTGCTCCAAAACCTTTTTCTTCTTCTGCCCTTAACGGTTCTCTTTGAAAATATTTCTCACGGCAGTCTGTTGGTTAGGGTCACACCATGACTACCTCTCATAGCTCATTACCATCATCGGCTTGGCTGTTAGTTATGAATCCACGAAAATTATCATCATTTTACAGGTCTATGTGATCTGTCAACCACCTGTTTGATAATCATCATAATGTGGTCTTGAATCACTTGAGCTTTTGTAGCTCAATTTGTGCACTTAAATTTTTGACTTTGCAGTTGAGATTGGTTTGAAAGCAAAATCACCCCCTTTATCAGCTCTGTGTAACTTCCCGCTTATTTCCTTCTCTGTGTCTCACTGCCGTAGTAGTACCTATCAAAGTCACTTTTTAAATGGTTCACTCTTTTTTATTCATATCGTCATAACCTTGATCTCTAACAGAAAACTACTTGCCGGACCTCTGTAACGATCAATTTCAATCAAGAGCTTTCCTTTCGTGTAAAACTACCAGCCTGTTTTGATCTATCATGCTCCCATAAAAATGTCTCATCTTTTTTATTCTACTCATACATATTTACTACCGCATCTGCTGATTCGATATACTAAACTGGTTGACCTTGACCCTGATTTGAAAAACTATGCCATGACCTGACCCCACAATTTGAGGGGACGGTTAACTTTGGAGTTGGGGAACTTGCGCAAGGTACTTTTAAATTTCCTGGGTTTTTGAAATTCCCTTGTCTATTATTTGGTTTGCAGGAAGATTCCATATTTCCTTTTTGTATGTTCTTCAATGGTATTTTTTGGCATTTTTTGAAAGATTCTTTGGGTTGGCCACTTGTGGGAGATATATTTTGGAAAGTTTTTCTTAGCAAAAGCTCTAGCTTGTTCAACATTAGACGGAATGCCTTTCCAGCATCTGGTTCTACTGTTTGACTTTCCGGGATTTTTTTAAGATTCCTTTATTTCACTTAAATTTTACACCAAATATTTACTGATTTGCTGCTAGGAGCTTGCTGCACGGTGGTAATGGGGTAGGTTCATATTCTGGGATCAAAACCCAAAACCTGGGATCTTTGGCTGTTTTTTGTTCCATTAGGAATTTTATGTTAGTGACAGGTTATACTTCTACCTGTAGGAAAGAAATATAAAATGAAAGGACAGTGAACCTTTATCACAGTGCGCTAAATTAAAATCTGATTGGCTAATTGACAGTCAAGTTTGCAACAAAATATTTTTGAACTTTACTAAACCAGTATGGCAGATAACTGATAAGCAATAATGGACGGAAGTTTGTATTTTATTTTAAATTAATATTTACACAGTTTGAGATTTTTTTTTAAATAATGATTGAGCATGAAATTAAAAGATTTTTTTAAAAACTTAACAGCTAGACAACAAAAGGTTGAATGATAAGTTGTCAAGAATTTAGCAGGTCAATAATCTAAAAATAACAAATAATAAAAAAACAGCTCACAAAAGTCAAAGTTTACTCAAAATAATTAGTTAATTTAGATTTAATATATATCACTTTGTGTTTATGAGCAGTATCCTTCCTTTTGATGTCAGGCTTAACCATCATAAACTATAATAGTGTTTAACAAGCCCGTAACAGATGATATATTGGACTACATACAAAATGATCTGGTTTAAAAACCGGAGTATAGCCTGTATTTCATGTGTTAAAATCTCAATCGATCAGACAATGGCCATGATAAATTTGGTGTTGCGTTAGCAATCTCCTAGATTAGACACTAGGTTCATTTTTTCCATATTAGTAAATTTCACAATATCCCCCACAATTAGATAATTTCAATGACACAAATCCCAAAATTTTCCCATGAAGGTTTTTCCAATGAAAAGGGCCTGCTTGTAAAACATGTGAATTTCCTTTCTTTGTTTGGTAAAAGATCATCAGGGACATTAGAATGACATCAAGGCGGAAAGCATAATTGCAAATGAAAGACGGATAGTAATTAAAATGAGAAATATATGCACTTTGTGTTTTCTAATTTGGAAACTGCACAAGTTTAAATAACATGTTTCATGTTTCCGAAAAAATCGAAATAGCCGAAACTGTTACTTTATGACTTTCCTTACATTCTTGTATCATTAACAAGAAATTTATATTTCTGAAAACAGCTGCAAAATGAGAGAAATAAACATTTTACTGCTGATTTATACAATATAATGCACTGTCCCTGAATATCATGTATTTTACAATTAAAGTTAATGAATAAATTACCTCCATTTTTAACGGCGTACCGTTATATTTACACACTGTCATTTCCGAAATAAAATTGTTGAACACTACTAAATGTTCATAATGACATTTAGGCAGCACGCCACACTAAATGAAGCCACAGCTTCAAATGGCCAGTAATTACAGAGACTGTTTTGAAGGCAGCTGTAACACTTTTATAAAATCAATGGTTTGAAGGCAGCTGCAACACTATACAGTACACTATAACAAGGTAACTGGTTTGAGGGCAGCTGCAACACTATAACAAAGTAACTGGTTTGAAGGCAGTGGCAAACACTATAACCCCCAAAAAAAAAGTACTGGTTTTTGAAGGCTGCAGTAATACTATAACAAAGTGACTGGTTTGAAGGCAGCTGCAACACTATAACAAAGTAACTGGTTTGAAGGCTGCAGTAATACTATAACAAAGTGACTGGTTTGAAGGCAGCTGCAACACTATAACAAAAGATAACTGGTTTTAAAGGCAGCTGTAAACACTATTACAAAGTGACTGGTTTGAAGGCAGCTTAACACTACTATAACAAAGTAAACTGGTTGAGGCAGCTGTTAACACTATTACAAAGTGACTGGTTTTGAAGGCAGCTGTAACACTATATTACAAAGTGGACTGGTTTGAAGGCAGCTGTAACACTATTACAAAGTGAGCTGGTTTGAAGGCAGCTGTAACACTATAACAAAGCTGACTGATTTGAAGGCAGCTGTTTAACTAATTACAAAGTACTAGGTTTGTAGGCAACTGGCAAACACTATTACAAAGTTACTGGTTTAATAGGCAGCTATAACACTTTTACAAACAGTAAACTGCGTTTAAAGGCACTATAACACACTATTACAAGTGGACTGTGAACTGGTTGAAAGGCAGCTGTAACACTATAACAAAATGACTGGTTTTGAAGGCAGCTGTAACAACTATTACAAAGTGACTGGTTTGAAGGCAGCTTGTAACACTATAACAAAGTAACTGGCAGTTTGAAGGTTTGATGGCAGCTGTAACACTATAACAAAACTGGTTTGATTTCAATGGTTTAAAGGCAGCTGTTAACACAAAGTGACTATTAAAGCTGGTAAAACTAATAGACTGGTTTGAAAGGCAGCTGTTAAAATTTTAAGCAAATTCAAGTAACTGGTTTTAAAGGCAGCTGTAACACTAATTAGCAAAGTGAACTGAATTTTGAAGCAAACAAAGTGACTGGTTTGGTTTTAATAACAACGAAGGCAGCTATAACAAAGTGAACTTAAGCAAAACTATACAAAGACTTGGTTTGAAGGCAGCTGTAAAGCTGTAAAAAGGCACTTCACTAACAAAGTGACTGGTTTGAAGGGGCAGCTGTAACACTTTTATAAATTGGCTTGAAAGGTTTGGACTGGTTTGACTGGCAGGCAGCTGTTTGAATGGGCAGCTGTACACTATTAACAAAGTGGAACTGGCGTTTTGAAAGGCAGGCTGTAACCCTATTTACAAAGTGGACTGGTTTTGAAGGGGTTGCTGTAAACACTATAAACAAAGTGGACTTTTTGAAGGCAGCTTGTAACTTCTCTGATTACAAAAGTAACTGGGTTTGAAGCGGAAGCTGTAACCCTATTACAAAGTGACTGGTTTAAAGGCAGCTGTAACACTATTACAAAGTGACTGGTTTGAAGGCAGCTGTTAACACTATTACAAAGTTGACTGCCTTTGGGAAAGGCATCTGTAACACTTTTACAAAAGTGATCTGGTTTTTAAAGGCTAAACTGTAACACTAATTACAAAGTGGACTGGTTTGAAGGCAGCTGTAACACTATTACAAAGTGACTGGATTGAAGGAAGCTGTAACACTATGTACAAAATGAACTGGATTGAAGGAAGCTGTTACACTATAACAAAGTAACTGGTTGAAGGCAGCTATTATACTATTACAAAGTGACTGGTTTGAAGGCAGCTGTAACACTATTACAAAATGACTGGTTTGAAGGCTGCTATAATATTATAACAAAGTGACTGGTTTGAAGGCAGCTGTAACACTATTACAAAGTGACTTGTAACACTATTACAAAGTGACCGGTTTGAAGGCAGCTGTAACACTATTACAAAGTGACTGGTTTGAAGGCATCTGTAACATTTTAAAAAGTGACTGGTTTGAAGGCAGCTGTAACACTATTACAAAGTGACTGGTTTGAAGGCAGCTGTAATCCTATTACAAAATGACTGGTTTGAAAGCAGCTGTAACACTATTACAAAGAAACTGGTGAAGGTAGCTGTAACACTATTACAAAGAAATTGGTTTGAAGGCAGCTGTAACCCTATTACAAAGTAATTGGTTTGAAGGCAGCTGCAACACTATTACACAGTAATTGGTTTTAAGGCAGCTGTAAAAATATTACAAAGTGACTGATTTGAAGGCAGCTGTAACACTTTTACAAAATGACTGGATTGAAGGAAGCTGTTGCACTATAACAAAGTAACTGGTTTGAAGGCAGCTATTATACTATTACAAAGTAACTGGTTTGAAGGCAGCTATTATACTATTACAAAGTGACCTGTTTGAAGGCAGCTGTAACACCATTACAAAGTGTTCATTTTGAAGACAGCTTTAACCTTAATTTAGCAGGGTACTGTTTTGATAACTGTTACAATATAGAATGATGAAATTTTTACATTATAACAAGAGGGCTGAATTGATAACTTTCAAATTGTTCAGAAATGTTTTGTAAATAAATGAGCCGCGTCATGTTAAAACCATGGTAGTGGATTTGCGACCAGCATGGATCCAGACCAACCTGCGCATCCGCGCAGTCTGATCAGGATCCATGCTGTCCACTTACAAACCCTATTACAAGTAGAGAAACTGATAGTGAACAGCATGGATCCTGATCAGTTTGCTCGTATGCGCAGGCTGGTCTGAATCCATGCTGGTCGCAAACACATTACGTTGGTTTTGTCATAATGTGGCTCAAATGTCAACTTTTAACATGTCATTTTAACACTGTTACTTGAAGCAATCTAACATTATATTGTAACTTTATAACATCAGAACATTTTAACATGTTAATTGGTTTAATAACAGAGACTGTACCTTGACTATATACTTTAATCTTGTAACACAAACCTTTCACCTAACATTACAGGGACTCCACTTAGGTTTTTTGACATAACAGGACAGGAAATAATTTTTTCGAGATTAATTTTCCATTTGATGTAGGTCTAGACAAATAACTTGTGTGCAGATGTTCAGATCATTCTCTTACTCTTTTTAGATAGTCCCTCTGTCACATCAGAGGGTGTTCCCATATGTCACACCCATAGATAGTCCCTATGTCCTACCCATGGATAGTATCTGATGCCACACCCATGGATAATCCTTGATATGACACCCATGGATAATCCTTGATATGACACCCATGGATAATCCTGGATGTCACACCCATGGCTTATCCTCGATGTCACATCCAAGGGTGTCCCCTGATGTCACACCTATCAATAATCCCTAATGTCACACCAAAGGATAGTCCCTGATTATAATGCCTTATATCACACCCAAGGGAAGATAAAAATACAAACACTGTTTTATTTTGTTCCCAAATTTATTCATTGTTTCCAGCCTCAGACAAATTACAACTTATACATCAAAGCAACTGTGACATCCACAACAATTTATTCACCATGAACACAAATTTACCATTCACAAATAATTTTCAAAAAAACTATTTTTTAGTTTAAATATAGCAAAAACAAGTCAGAAGTTTCAAAAGGATTCTGTAAGACAGATCAACTTTTATGATTATCTTAAAATTATGTCTTCTGACCTCATATAACTCTCAACAATTTAATTACACATACATGTATATAACCCATGTTTTTCTTTGGTTTGGTGTTACGATGCACCAACACAACTTCAGTCATAATGGCTCCTAAATAGGAAAGATGATTTTGGCTAACCTCGGGGTTGATAATTTATTTTTTACATGTATATATATTTGATACCATTTTTCATTGCTGACTATCCTCAGGCAAGATGGAGACTAAACATGATTTGGGTTCATCATATCTTGTTACATTATTTTCATTGGTTTTATTAAGAAAAAGAAGTGTTTTCAGGAATATAAAAGAAACCTAAACTTCTGGCAAAAGCTTGAAAACTTGTATCCATGGTAATGTTTTTTATCCAACATCCAATATTCATACATTATTCCGAGCATTTTGAAAGTTTTGTTACCAAATCCTGACCCATACAGTATGTAAATTATCTGTATTATAAATTTTCAATATGCACTTCTAAGTAAGTTAATCGATGGTTAAATGATTGTTAAAACTCATTTCAAGCATGTAATATTAAACTGTAATGTATGCGTGTATGGTGTTGCCAACGAATATCATTTTATTCAAGAATGGGCCTCCAGCTGCTGTAGTAATAATCGTCTTTGTTTCTCTAATTCTCCTTCGCTCATGTCACTCCCCGAAGAATAACCACCCTGAAAATATAGTGAAAAATACTTTAATATTACAAATACTCTCCTTGAGTGAGTTTGTGGTAGTTCAACATGAATACAGCAGAATAATGATAGACATTTAACACAGGGATGGCATAAAGTAAAGATTTCAAAATACAATGGTTTGTGTCTTTTAAGACTATTTTGTTTTTGTTTTGTTTGGTTTGGTTTTAGGGCGCAGCAACACACTTTATGTCAAAATGGCGCCAAAACTGGTAAGATGATTTTGGCTAACCTCCAGTGTTACAAGCTTGAAGCAGCACCAGGGGTCAAATCACCTCACCTGTTTGAGCTACGAGATGCACAGACTCCAGTGATTTGAACTTATTTGGTCGTTTCTTGCAATCACACAGGGATTATAACAGTGAAATTCTGATGCCTCAACCCTTAAAGGCAACCCCTCAGCACAAGGCAACTTTAAAAACAAAATTCCTCCAGATCATAAACTGGGGTTGGTTTACCAACAATTTCAACTATTTAGCATGCACTTTTACACTTTAAAATTGTCAAAAAGAGAAGGGCTTGCATTGTAACATTATTCAAGAGAAAAATACAGCTGAAGTTTCCTCCAAAAATACATTTTTTAGAAATAGAAAATGATTTAATGATATCATACGATGACATAAACAAATAATGTATACGACAGTATTATATCTTAACGTTTCCGAGAGATATACAACCTTAATTCAGTTTCCCTGAGTTGATCAATAACAATCAATAACAGATAGAGGAGTGGTGACCTAGTGGTTAAGGTGTCTGCCTCTCACCCCAGGAATCATGGGTTGGAGTCCTAATCAGGTCACGACCATGTTTTTGCACATGATACCAGTACTGGTTGGTTCTAGCACAGGAACTTAAAATTCTATCAATATTAATGATAATATCCAAAATATACCCCCTATACAGTATAAATAAACACTGTTTACTTATACTGTATAGGGGGTATATTTTGGATATTATCATTAATATTGATAGAATTTCAAGTTCCTGTGGTTCTAGGTAGAGCACTCGAAAGTGAGTAATATGAGTTGCAATAACTTATTTCGCAATCGAGCACAAATAAATATGTTTAAACCAAACTATAACTGATAAGTAATGATCTTTCTTTTTCAGGACTGAAATTGTAACAACATTATTTTTTTGGATTTGATGACCAAAACTTTAAAGCCAAAAATTATGTCATTAAGTAAAATTGTCAAAATCCTTTGCTTACATAACTCAGGATACCCACTAGATATATATAGTAAAACTTTGTCAACAAAAAAATTATCTTGTTGAAACAACATATAATTATCAAGTTTCAAAAATGGCCTATCAGTAAAACTAGGTCAAATCATTACTTTGTTTTGAGGTTAATACATTACTCCCATTTTTATGAAATCTGGTCAAAGATTCAATTTTGAAAAAAAACCAAAACAACTTTATAAACTAACATTGTGCACATATATCGAAAAATATTTGTATCACTTCACTAGAACAAGTTAATATTTCTTTCTTTTTTTTTTATAAAATCTTGATAACCAAATTTCCATAATTGTGCATTACATTAAAACCTAGCTCTCTTTTTAACACTGATGCATTGAAAGCAAATAAACTGTAACCAAGGAAAATATACACAGAAACTAAACAACATCAAAGTGAAAAAATATTTAAATTTCCCTCAGAAAAAAACCTTTGCCCAACCAATCAAATATTTTTTGCCCAAAGTTACCTGTTTTTTTTGTGCTAAGTCTATTCATAATCATCCAAATATATCTGTAATTAATCAAATTGTATTCAATTTATACTATATCAACTTTGCTGAATTGTTTGTTCAGTTGCCAGTTCAATAGGAAAAAAAAACACAGCATAAAATATTTTCAAAGAGTAATCTAATACTGTTGTCATATAAGGAATAACAATTATGAGGAATATCAATTATGAGAAAATCAATTATGAGGGAAATCAATTATCAGGGAAAAACAATTATGAGGAAAATCAATTATGAGGAGTAACAATAATGAGGAAAAACAGTTATGAAGAAAATCAATTATGAGGAATTACAAGTATAAGAAACTAGAACTATCGCTGAATGCGATTCATACCCCCACCAATGTCCTTGACAAAAGACAACTTGGAAAGGTGGTTAAGGGAATAACTTATGTGGCACAAATACATAAAAAGAAATTATCTCTGGTGAAAAAAAGACTAATTGTACAGGTAATAGTAAAAAAATCTATTATCAAATCATGTTCGAAACAGTTACAAATAACCTTTCATTTTCCCAATATACTAATCTTTTTATAAGTCAATTTTTGACCTTCAAGTGTGGCCTTGACCTTCAGCTGGCACAAGGGTAAGATGGGTTCTGCACATCGCCCAATTGGAGTGAACATTTGAGTAAAGTTTTGAAGAAAATCCTTCCATTAGTATAGAATTTATAGAGCGGACACAACATATTGTCTAGTATTGATTGTATGTAAATTTAAAAGACTTAAAAAGGGGGCATAACTTTTGTCAAAATCCAATACAGAGTTATGAAACTTGACCTGCATATTGTAATTGTGACACCTCATATATCTTTTACGTTTTCAAGCATAATACCTATGCTAGTTTCCGAAATATTCAAGAACATGTTTTAATCTAAGAACATTTTTCTAAGTCAATTTTTGACCTTCAAGTCTGACCTTGACTTTAGTCTGGCACAAAGGTGACATAGATTCTGCACATAACCTTGTTTAGGTGAACATTTGAGAAAAGTTTGAAGAAAATTCTTCCATTAGTATAGGATTTATAGAGCGGACACAACATATTGTTTAATATGTGATTGTATGTAAATTTGAAGATTAAAAAGGGGCATAACTTTGTTAAAATGCAATACAGAGTTATGTGACTTGATAAGCATATCTTAATTGTGACACTTATTTTAAGTTTCAAGCAAATACCTTTCCTAGATTCAGAAATATTCAGATATATGTTAAAATTAAAGAACATTTTCTAAGTCAATTTTTTGACCTTCAAGTGTGACCTTGACCTGAAGCCGGCAAAAGAGTGACATGGGTTCTGCACATAACCTTGTTGAGGTGAACATTTGAGCCAAGTTTGAAGAAAATCTTTCCATAAGTGTAGGACTTACAGAGGGGACACGAAAACATACTGTGTAATATTGATTTGTTTAATATTTGACCTTCAATTGTGACCTTGACCTTGAGCTGACACATGAGCAACATGGGTTCTGCACATCCCATTGTTGAAATGAACATTTGAGCCAAGTTTGAAGAAAATCTTTCAATTAGTGTAGGACTTACAGAGCGGACATGACATATTGTGTAATATTTGATTGTTTGATATTTGACCTTCAATTGTGGCCTTGACCTTAAAATGACACATGGGCAACATGAGTTCTGCACATCCCCTTGTTGAGGTGAACATTTTAGCCAAGTTTGAAGAAAATCTTTCAATTATTGTAGGACCTACAGAGCGGACACGACATACTGTCTAATATATGATTGTGTTTGATATTTGACCTTCAATTGTGACCTTGACCTTGAGCTGACACATGGGCAACATGGGTTCTGCACATCCCCTTGCTGAGGTGAACATTTGAGCCAAGTTTGAAGAAAATCCTTCAAGTGGTATAGGAGTTATAGAGCGGACACGAAAATGGAGACGGACGGACGGACGGACCGACGCGACAAAGCGAATCCATTATAGCCCCCCCCCACATTTTGTGGTGGGGGTATAATAACAACTATGAGGAAAATCAATAATGAGGAAAAACAATTCTAATCCTTGTAGCTCTATGGTTATGATTGGATTTCAAGTGACATTGACAGTGTAAAGGTCAAATGAACTCTCAGTCTTATAATAGGGAGATCTGCACCTGTAGTGTTGTTGGGCCAGCAAGAATGAGGATTTGGTTTTTATTTTTGTTTCATTTTATGGCACACCAACATAGAGCACGAAACATGAATTTGAAAGCTGATTTGGGTTACATAGGTCAAAACCACCTCACCTGCTGGAGCTAAGAGATGCATAGACTCCAGTAATTCGTACCCATTTAGTCCCCTCTTTCGATCACAGAGGGTTAAACAGTCACTGCAAATCTGATGCAGGATACGTAAAGGCAACCATTAGTTCACAAGGGGCAAGAATGAGGATTATCTTGCTTAACATTCATTGTTGAATGGTAATCAGTTTATTTTTTTCTTGTCTCCCATATATTTTCAACTTGGACAAGCATAAAATATTTTCAATCTGTATGTTTTGTAAGCGCTGACAAACAAGTGCATGTATTTTGCTGTTTGTAACACAGTGACCTTTTTTGAATGTTCCATGATTCTGAACAAAAACTTAAATGAGCCGTGCCATGACAAAGCAAATGCAATGCATTTGCGACCAGCATGGATCCAGACCAGTTTGCACATCCGCGCAGTCTGATCAGGATCCATGCTGTTCGCTATCAGTTTCATTACTTGTAATAGGGTTGTGAAGTGAACAGCATGGATCCTGATCAGACTGCGCGGATGCGCAGGCTGGTCTGGATCCATGCTGGTCGCAAACCCATTATGTTGGTTTTGTCATGGCACGGCACAAATATATTCTCTCAGGAAATGGCTAACTCTAACCTTTTAAATCTTTCCTTTCAGCTACAGAAGAAAATTATCAGTAGACTGTACTTAATCATACTATTACGGACACCACCCCCCCCCCCCCCCTAAAAACCCTTCTGCTCCAAAAGGCTTAAGTTTAATTGAATCACAAAATACAAGAATGGCAAAGTCTCTGTTACATGTACGGATATATACCCAGGCCGGCCTGCACATTTATGTGCAATCTGATCAAGATCTATACATTTCTGGCTGACATCCCTTAAATTGATAATGGACTGTTCCACAATTAACATTGGACAAGTCCATTTTGAATATTCAGGGTGAGCAACTACGATAAGATGTGTATATGCCCAAATCTATCATAAAAGGTCATCTTCATCAATGAAATGCAAAATGTTAAAGTAAACACCCCCACTATTTTACTGATTCACATCATGTTAAAAGTTAAACTTAAAATAAACATAAAACATAAAATTAAATCAATTTTGAACTTGAAAACAGGGTTGACCTAATCTGTTAAAATGCTAAAATGTTAACTTATTTTATAAGTTACTGGACTGATTTTTTTCCCCGATTATCTACCTTTAATTGACCAATGATAAAGAGTCTAGTTGTCAAAATTCTTTACTAACAATTCTTATAACAATTATAACATAACATCTTCACAAAATAACCTACACATTGTCTAGTTTGTGCCTGAGGATTTATTGCAAAATGGTAATTTATACAGCCATAATCACAAATAGACTATATCAAAACCAAGAAAGACTGCTTCGGAAAAAAAATATGAGCCGCGTCACGACAAAACTAACAAAATGCGTTTGCGACCAGCATGGATCCAGACTTGCCTGCCAAAACAGCACGGATCCTGATCAGACTGCGCGGATGCGCAGGCTGGTCTGGCTCCATGCTGGTCACAAACCCATTATGCTGGTTTTGTCATGGTGCAGCTATTATATATATATCTATCTAAAATCATCTTTTTGCATTTTTTTTTTACAATTATTACAACACAATTTCCACAACATTCAAGAGTAAAGAAAACCATAGAGCACAACAGAGAAAGCAGATTCACCAACATTGCAACAATTTCCATAATGTCAATTTTTTGTTTAGATTCATATACATCATAAATTTAATTTTTATATAAACAAGAGGGCCATGATGGCCATAAATCGCTCAATTGAGTGACAGGTGAGCTAATAAATGATAAATAAATGATAAATCTGTTATAATTTTATTTTATAGATATATTACTTATGATAAGTCATTGTATTGTCACCTTAGTGCAATAATGGGTTAACTCCTTATATACTTTTATAGGAGTTAAACCGTTACTGCACTAAGGTGTATATATTAAGTCATGTATCATAAATCAGAATGTAAATATATGTGTTACACAAATTACAAAATTAATTACATACTATACATATACATATATGTCATACTTTCAATAGTCATAAAAATATACACATGTATATTAAATATGTGTATGTAAATATATGTACTACAAATATATCATACATATAACATGTAAAAATAGTCACATATAAAGCATGTACATTAAAGTTTCAAATATAAATAATACAATGTATATACTGTGAATTCACTTAATTTCATGGGCATGAAATTTCATGGTTTTGTCTTAAAGAACATGGCTTCTTAAATTCGTGGACTGTATATAAAGTTTAAAAAAAAAATCCCTGAATTGTCAATATATAATTTATTAAAGATTAAAAATGATAGGTGAAAAATAAAAATAGTACATAAGACACTGATACTCCATAGTTTTTCACTGTTTCTTTAACCAATGGACAGATAGCATAACAAACAAAAAAACAGGCAAAACTATATCCCCCCCCCCTTCCCACCCAAAAACAACATTTGCATAAATTCTTAGTTTAGAGGGGAGATGTTTGTTTGTTTATTTTAATATGTTGTCTTACCTACAGTGTTTAGGTTATTTGGGGACTTTCCAGCTTTACTGGTAGAGGAAGACCTCAGGTGTCGCTTTGTGAATTACTTCAAGCATAAGCTGGCTCTCAAGGAGAACCACATTAACAAGCTGGATACTTCTTCAAAGTCCCACAGTATTGGTAATGTGATTATCCATCTTTACTGGTAAAGGAAGACCTCATGTGCCCCTTCATGTATTTCAGGCACCTGAGTAGAACCACTAACCCTCTGGAAGCTAGCTGGATAGCTTCCTCACATGAAGAATCCAATTGATTTGAACCCACAGCCATGATGGGCAAGAAATTTAAAGACAACAAACTAAACAACTCGGCCAAAGATAATCATTTAAATATAGATGCCAGATTGATGTATCTTGAAATAAATGATGAAGAAAATGATAATGGTCAAATATTCAAAATTGGAAGAAAATTTTGTCAGTTATAAAATGATACAAGTAAAAATATTTGACTATACATCAACTTAAAGAAAAATGTGCCAGCATGTGAACACCAGAACAGCTCTAAATATACAACGTAGTGTCTAACTTACAATAACTGACAAAATTCTAGTCCATTTAAATATCTGACACTGTAAGACATAGGGGATCAGGGTACACAGGGGATTGATAAAAAATTTGACTCTTTCTTTATCGTTTATCTTACCCCTCTATGCTTCTTTTTCTTGGACTTCTTCTTGTGTTTCTTTGAGGACTTCTCATCTTTGTCTTCGGCTAACATCAATCAGGAAAAACAAATAAAACAATTTTATTCTGAACTATAAAAATTCTAACAGAGTTAGAGTAAGGAAAAGAGTACACTTTCCTTATTAAGAAAGGCATGTTTATATTCAACATACAGGTCTGTCTCAACAATCATCAAGATAAATATGATGTCAATAGATCAAACAATGTTCAGTGTAATTATTTACTACTGGATGATGTTAAAACTTAAATAGGTTTCCAGTTAATTTCAATTTTTTGAGCATGTTTAAATGGAAAGAGACATCCAATTAGTCATTTCTATAAATAGATTTTGACTGTATATTTCTATAAATAGATTTTGACTGTATATTTCTATAAATAGATTTTGACTGTATATTTCTATAGAGTTTGACTGTAAATTTATATAAATAGATTTTGGCTGTATATTTCTATAAATAGATTTTGACTGTATATTTCTATAAATAGATTTTGACTGTATATTTCTAATAGGCAATAGAAAATAAATAACTAGATTCTCATCCAAATTTTGGGAAAAAATGGGGCGGGTGGGTGGATTTTAATTTTTATTTTCCATTCTCGGTCTTGAATTTCACACAAGGAGGTCAATATTTGGTAATTTGTTCTATATGATAGGTTCTAATATTATGTGTATGTAAGATATATAGATTCAGATTGAGAATAGAAGCAACATTATAATATATCTTGATTGTAATTATTGAACCTTTCATATATTGACTTCAAACCAATTGATGTTTGGACAAAATAAAAAAAACAATATATAATTCTACATGTATTGATACGAAATAAGAAATCTTAATTTTATAAAAGAGTTGAATAAAGATGTACTATGCCTATGCCGATCAATAGTGCTTTTACATGAGTAGATTAATTAATCAACCAATGAAGCTACACAAAAAGACAATCTTATTTATATATCACATTGCAAAAATAACATCTAAGCTATTGAAAATTTGGCAAAGAAAGTACAGAGATTTACCTATCATATTAAAAAGCTATCTTATTTTCACTTTCATACCATGACTAGATATTATAAAGATTACATACAAAATCAAGCAGCACGCTGACCATAAAGATTATAAGCGAAATTCATTTTTTTAGGCCACGACGACCGGCACCCTTTTGTTTATTTTTGGTTCAGATGATTATTTCAGGCCGTGACATTTCAAGTATTATATTATAACAACCTGGGTGAATGTCAAAATGACGGCTTTTCTTAGTGTGGCTTTCAATGAAGAAACAAAACAAAATGTGGACGGTAGAAAAAATCAGGCTCCTCACTAGGATTTTCAAAATCCTGAGACTCCCAATTCTGCTGTTTCTTCCCGATTAATTCCACCATTGATTTATCTGTGATTCCACACACCCCCCTCCCTTAAGAAAATATCCATTGTACAATTAACACACAATGGCAAATGTCTCATTCTAAACTAATGTAAACAATACAGTACGTAAATTTAATTAATAAACTATATTTAAAGTGTTATTGGACAAATTTTATCAATACAAGGCTTACTTAATTTTGGTGATTTATTATATAAATCGACATCGCTTAAATATGTGACAAACGAAAAAATGTCTGTTTCCTGCATAACCATTCACAATTCTAGTTGTTGTTGATTTTGATTTTATCAGATTAATTATTTTATGAGTATTTTTAGATTGTTATTCAGCTGCTATTTTAAAAGTCATTGTAAAACAAAATTTCCAAATTTGTAATTTACGGCAAAATTTACCGATGCTGTTTATGAACAGCTGTTTATTTGAATATTTGACTTGTCCAAAATTGGTCTTTTGTGGTTCAAACATCAATATAGTTACAGTTCTTTAACACATTTCGTTTTAACTATCAAAACAGGTTATTTTTTGCTCTTAGAAATTATATTTGGACCCGAGGATTTTTCACGCTCGGCCCGCATGATCCGATCTTTATTCAGCTAGAGACTGACGGACTTTCGGCCGCACAGATGATGATACACTTATATACTTTAAGTACTCGGCATCCGTACACAGTTATCAAGCTAAAAACTTAATTCTTTTTTTTCTTTCTTTCCCCTTTTTCTTTCTTTTCTTTCTTTTTTTTAAAAAAAAAAGTTCGGGGGGAGCAAATTTTTTTGGCCGGGGCAGGCGGGGAGAGAATCGGGGAATTTTTTTTCATATACCATAAATAGTTTTTTGATTTTATATTTTATAAATAATTTTGATTAATATTTCTATAATAATTTCTTATATTTCAAAAAAGAATTTGGGGCTTATTTTCTACTGGCTAAGGTCAAATGTCAAAAAAATTTTCTATACTAGTTTTTGACGTATTTCTATAAAAGATTCAAAGTATATTCTATAAATAGTTTTTCAAATGTAATTTATAAATAGTTTTGACTTATACATGTATTTGACATATAATGTTTTACCTGGTGAGGGGGAAGAAGTTGGTACCTTTGACCTGTTTTCCTCCTCTTCTGGATACGAGATGAGTTTCCCCAGGTAACTCCTGAAAAACATTTAACATAATACAATTTATACTAAAATAAATCAACTGTTTCATTACCTTCAAGATGGCTTTGCCTGTCTTATTCAAAGTTACATGTTTTTGTTTTTTGTTTTTGGGGGTTTTTTTTGGTTGGATTTTACATCACACCAACAAAGTAAATGTTATATGACATATGACTTTCCAGCCTTACTGGTGGAGGAAGACCTCAGGTGCCCCTTTGTGAAATATTTCAGGCACAAACAGGCACCAGAGTAGAACCACCGGCCAAAGTAACATTTAACATGCTACGATTTATACTAAAATAAATCAACTGTTCAACTGTTCAAGATGGCTTTACCTGTCTTGTTCAAAGTAACATGTTTTTTTTTTGCTTTGGGGTTTTTTTATGGTTAGGTAAAATCCACCAACACAGTAAATGTTATATGACAAAACGACTTTCCAGCCTTACTGGTGGAGGAAGATCTCAGGTGCCCCTTTGTGGATTATTTCAGGCACGAACAGGCACCAGAGTAGAACCTGACCAAAGTACCATTTAACACGTTAGGATTTTCCCTATAAAATTAATAAACCTTTTCATTGCCTTCAAGATGGGTATACCAAGAGATTTTTTTTTTTGTTAACTTAAAGTTCAAAAAAATAATTCTTGAAATATTAGTCATATATGTTGTATATGATGATTAGAGACATATATTTAAAGTAAATCTCTTAAGTACTTAAAAATATACAGTAAACTCAACGTATAAAAATACAGCTTATATCGATATACTGCTTATATTGACGTTGTTGCCGCCATTCCGAACCTCGGTTGTCAAATTAGTTGCCTCTCAGATATAACAATATCCAAATATAAAGTTATAAATGTAGAGTCCCTGAATACCCTTATATGCTGAGTTAACTGTATTGTAAAATACTAAAAGAATTTACGGCGCAGATGCCTAAGCCAGAGTGAGTCAGATAGCTCGCCATACATATTGTAACGTCGACCTAAAAAACCGACACTTACTGAACGTGACCTTGACCTGGATCTTCTACTTTTATGTTTCTTTGATTTTCTCTTTTTTGGGTGCCTGTGCATGCATGCTTCCTCTACGGCCACTAGGAACTCCTTAAACAATCTAATACGTTCTGCCTCCAGCGTGATTGCCTCAAATGCTGCCTCATTCTCGAACCTTGTTCTAATCTGTAAATTAATAAACAGCTCAGTTTTTATATTTGTACTCTCTTCGTTTCACAGACAAAAAAAGAGCTATTTAAATGTGTCAAGTTATGATTATAATAATATAGTAAATGTTAAGGTTTTTGCTCCTATTTGCTACAAAAAAAAAACCCATAGATTATTCAGCCATAATTTATTAATGTATTTGTCATCAACATTTGATATGAATAAAAATGTTACATTTCAAATTCAGTTTATAGAAATAATAAATAAAAACAAGATTGCATTTGAGTAAAATGCTATGCCACCGCATGGTTCAAATTTCATAGCTGTGCATCAAAGGACAAGAAAGTAGGTCACATCATCAAAATCTAGGTCAAAGTTCAATTTTACAACTAAAACTGTGCACATGGTCAAAATTTCATTGCTGTACATCAAAGGACAAGAAAGTAAGTCACTGTTTCCTTGGGCAAGGCATAATTTTGACCCAAGGGTTTAATAACAATCTTGATACAGGTCCACCAAACAACATTTCAAGTCAAATATCTAAGCTATAGCTTTCTCCCATTCAGAAAACATTTGTTTTATTTTCTGTTTTTAATATGTGTACATAATGAGAATCACTGCCCCCGAACAGTGCCAATTTTTGACATTTGAACAACTTTGGTAGAGGACCTATAGATGATATTATATATCAAATATCAAAGCTCTATGATTGAACCTTCAGACAAAAATTTTTTTTTTCACTTTATGTACATAATGAAAATCAATGACCCCCGGGGCGGAACCAATTTTGACCCCAGGGCTATAATTTGAACAATCTTGCTAGAGGTTCACTTCACAATGTTTCATGCAAAATATCTTATCTCTATCCTTTGTAAATTTAGAGAAGATGATTTTTTAAGTTTTAACTATATACATATAAGATAAACCTATGGCTCCCAGGGGCGGGGCTAATTTGGACACAAGAGGCAAAATTTGAACAACTTTGGTAGAGTACCTTTAGATGATATTATTTAACAAATATTAAAGCTCTAAGCCTTGTACCTTCAGACAATAAGATTTTTTTATTTTTTACTATATGTATATATTGAAATCAATGACCCCCAGGGCGGGGGCAATTTTGACCCCTGGGCTATAATTTGAACAATTTTGCTAGAGGTTTACAACACAATGTTTCATGCAAGATATCTAACCTCTAGCATTTGTCAATTGCTAGAAGAATTTTTTAAAGTTTTTACTATATACAAAGGAAAACCAATGACCCCTGGGGCGGGGCCGATTTTGACCCCAGGGCTATAATTTGAACAATCTGGGTAGAGGTCTACCAGACAATGCCTTATGCACAATATCTAAGCTCTAGACCTTTTGGGTCTTTACAAGAAGGTGTTTTAAGTTTTTACTATATGTACATATAGCGAAAATCAATGACCCTGGGGCGGGGCCGATTTTGACCCAAGGGCTATAATTTGAACAATCTTGGTAAGGGTCTACCATATGATGCCTTATGCAAAATATCTAAGCTCTAGGCCTTTTTTGTTTTTACAAGAAGATATTTAAAGTTTTTACTATATGTACATAGTGAAAATCAATGACCCCCGGGGCGGGGCCAATTTTGACCCTAGGGCTATAATTTGAACAATCTTGTTAGAGGTCTACCAGACAATGCCTTATGCAAAATATCTAAGCTCTAGGCCTTTTGGGTCTTTACAAGAAGATTTTTAAATTTATTCTTATAATTCCTTTTGGTTGCCATGGCAACCAGATTTCTGCATGGAATGAAATTCTTTGAACAACTTTGGAAGCCCTTCACCCAAGGAACAATCCTGCCAAGTTTGGTTGAAATTGGACTAGTAGTTTTTCACAAGAAGATTTTTTAAGTTCATTATATAATCTATATAACACACACACACAAACACACACACAGGTGAATCGCTATATGCCACCGCATCGCAGATTGCGGTGGCATAAAAAGAACACTTAAAAACTGAATGTGTAAGGTCGTGAAAAAAACTCAGAAAGTATACCTTAAAAATTTCTAAACAACATGTAATGGATAATGCAAATTGACTCATTTAATATTAAATACTTGTATTTGCAAAAGCATGATTATTTATTATTTATTCTATATTTATTGGCTTTAAAATATCACATAGACACTGCAAATGTCATATCCCTACATTTTAGCGTAATAATCATGGAGGAAGACCTAAGTTTAACCTCTATACAATGATTTCAGACAGTACCTCACATGATTTATTGACTACATATATATAGCCTTACATGACACCAGAGGCAACAATCCGTAATGTCAAATGGCACATTACAGCACACTGAAAAAACCCCACAACTAGTTAGCTTAAAAAGCCTTGTAATGATACCTAGTTGACTCCAAGTCTTATCTAGAGCACTGTATAATATACTTACATCTTCCCATTTATTATCTTGTTCTATGGCTGGGGTTGCCTCCTGTAACATGTTCTTAAAAGCTGTCTCTAATTTCCTCAACTGAAATCAGCATAAAAACAAGGTTTCATACCTAACAATATATTGTTTTGTTTGTTTGTTTGGTTTAGTTCGGTTTGGTTTTACAGCGCACCAACTTAGTTTATGTCATATGGTGCTGAAAGAGGAAAGTTGATTTTGACTTATCTAAGTTGTTACAAACTTAAAGCAACACCATGGTCAAAAACCTCCTCATGTGCTAGAACTCGAAGATGCACAGACTCCAATAATTCGAAACTATCTAGTCGCCTCTTATGATCAAGCAGGGATTAATGGTGGCTGCAATTCTGATGCCTCAATCCTTAGAGACGACCCCTTAGCCATAAGGTGTTTGTAATGACATATGTATCATACAAAAGATAATTATCAAACTGCACACTTTTAGTATAGCAGATAAAATAAAAAAATATCTTATGTTTCTTTATTAATTTACTACTGTTTATAGATATGTCACTGGTGAAAAACTTCTTCTAAGGGTGAAATGAGCCGCGTCACGACAAAACCAACATAGTGCATTTGCGAACAGCATGGATCCGCACAGTCTGATCAGGATCCATGCTGTTCGTTATCAATTTCTGTACTTGTTATAGGGTTGGTAAGCAAAAAGCATGGATCCTGATCAGACTGCGCGGATGTGCAGGCTGGTCTGGATCCATGCTGGTCGCAAACACACTATGTTGGTTTTGTCGTGAGGCGGCTCAAATGCTTTTCTCATACTTTTACCTAACTTATTATGTATTAACATTTTGAATAACTGCACTTTATAGAGGAATATAATATAATATGTTGAGCGCCAAGTGTGAAAGGCTGCTGAATTGTGTCTCCTATAAAAACTTGATTTTAAGTGGTTTCTAGACTATGCATTGACTTCATTTTTGCTCTAGCACTAAATGAATATGTGAGCATTATGAATCTGGCATTTGGTTTTGGATTACTAATTGCATTTGTGGAGTATTTGTGTGTAAAACAATTGGATTGTAACAAAAGATTTCATCATAATCTGGTGAACACCTTCTCAGTGTACACAATGGATTATCCTGGGGGCAGTATCAATACATACAGTGCAAGAGAGCTATTGAAATATAGATCAATGCCCAGACAATGGATTTTACCTGATCAGCAATTATTGGCAAGATTAAAAGGTTTGGGTATTTTGAACTTTAGAAGTTATAGATCTGGAACCAAAACATCCAAAAATAATAAACCACAAAAGAAACAATGTGGTGTGAATATCTCAAACCTAGTATACCCGAAACGACAAAATGACCTAAGTAATTTCAGAGAAAATGTGACATGTTTAACATTAAATTGTCATTCAGTAGTCAACAAAGATGTACTAGTCGGACAATTGCTTCGTGAGGACAATATTGACTTTGCGCTTTTGACGGAAACGTGGTATTCAGATGACAAACAATCTCACTTTGAAACATCAGATTTAAACCAAAATGGTTATAAACTCAGTGTTGCAAACCGTAAAAATCGTGTTGGCGGCGGTATTGCTTTGACATGTAAAAGTACCATCAATATGCGGAAAAAGGAATCCGGCGCGACCCAAACTTTTGAGTACGGAATATGGCAATTGGTTTTCAAAAACATTACCATAAATTGTGTAGGAATTTATAGACCCCCATCATTAGCTACTCCTCTGCAATTTGTGAAAGACTTCTTTGAATTTATGGAGGACATTGTTTCAAAATATCAAAACCTCTTGACAATGGGGGATTTCAATCTTCATATACACGACGACACCGGTGCTATTTCAGAATTTAATAACTGTTTGTGTGCTATGGGATTAGAACAACATGTACATTTCCCCACACAAGTGTTCGGTCAAAGTCTCGATCTTGTGATCACAGAGGTCGCAAATGGTGTTGAGCTAGTCTCATGTGAACCTGGTCCATTTCTTTCAGACCATCGTGTAGTGAAAGTCGTCACAAAAGTGAACAAGAGGGCCATGATGGCCCTGAGATCGCTCACCTGTATATAGGCCCCCCCCCACAACCCCCCCCCCCAACGTTGCAGGGCCAATTTAACCCAAGGGCTTTTATTTGCACAAACTTGGTAGACACCCATAAGAAGATGTTTCATGCTAAACATCTAAGCTCTAGCTCATTGGGCTTTTTAAAAGAAGATTTTTTTAAAGTTTTTACTATACACATATAGTTAAAAACAATGAAACCCCTTGGGCCAGGCCAGTTTTGACCCCAGGGCTTTTATTTGAACAAACTTTGTAGACACTTACTAGAAGATGTTTCATGCTTAATATCTAAACTCTAGCTATTTGGGTTTTTTCAAAGAAGATTTTAAGTTTTTGCTATACACATATAAAGAAAATCAATGACCCCCGGGGCGGGGCCAATTTTGACCCCAGGGCTTTTAATTGAACAAACTTGGTAGACACCTATTAGAACATGTTTGATGCTCAATATCTTAGCCATAGCTCTTTGAGTTCTTTAAAAAAAGATTTTTTAAGTTTTTGCTATACACATATAAGGAAAATCAATGACCCCTGGGGCGGTGCCAATTTTGACCCAAAGGCTTTTATTTGAACAAACTTGGTAGACACCCATTAGAACATGTTTGATGCTAAATATCTTAGCCATAGCTCTTTGAGTTCTTTAAAAGAAGATTTTTTAAGTTTTTACTATATGCATATAGGGAAAATCAATGACCCCCGGGGCGGGGCCAATTTTGACCCCAGGGCTTTTATTTGAACAAACTTGGTAGACACTTATTAGAACATGTTTCATGCTAAATATCTTAGCTCTAGCTCTTTGGGTTCTTTAAAAGAAGATTTTTTAAGTTTTTACTATATGCATATAGGGAAAATCAATGACCCCCTGGGGCGGGGCCAATTTTGACCCCAGGGCCTTTAATTGAACAAACTTGGTAGACACCTATTAGAACATGTTTTATGCTAAATATCTTAGCCATAGCTCTTTGAGTTCTTTAAAAGAAGATTTTTTAAGTTTTTACTATATGCATATAGGCAAAATCAATGACCCCCCGGGGCGGGGCCAATTTTGACCCCAGGGCTTTTATTTGAACAAACTTGGTAGACACCCATTAGAAGATTTTTCATGCTAAATATCTTAGCTCTAGCTCTTTGGGTTCTTTAAAAGAAGATTTTTTAAGTTTTTACTATATGCATATAGGGAAAATCAATGACCCCCGGGGCGGGGCGAATTTTGACCCCAGGGCTTTTATTTGAACAAACTTGGTAGACACCCATTAGAACATGTTTCATGCTAAATATCTTAGCTCTAGCTCTTTGGGTTCTTTAAAAGAAGATTTTTTAAGTTTTTACTATATGCATATAGGGAAAATCAATGACCCCCCGTGGCGGGGCCAATTTTGACCCCAGGGCTTTTATTTGAACAAACTTGGTAGACACTCACTAGAAGATGTTTCATGCCAAATATCTAAGCTCCAGCTCTTATGGTTTTTTAAAAGAAGATATTTAAAGTTTTTTCTTTCGGTTGCCATGGCAACCAGAGTTCTGCATGGAATTAAATTCTTTGAACAATTTTTAAAGGTGACCACCAAAGGAACATTCCTGTGAAGTTTGGATGAAATTGGCTTAGTGGTTTATGAGGAGATGTCATTTAAAGTAAAAGTTTACGGACGGACGGACGGACGACGGACGGACGGACGCCGGACGAAAAGCGATCACAAAAGCTCACCCTGTCACTTTGTGACAGGTGAGCTAAAAAAGAGAACATTATCAGCAAATCCATCATATACAGAAACTTTAAAGATATTGATCGCTCAGAATTTGCCAGTGATATAACAAATATAAAAATTGAAAGTGAATCAATTACTGAATATGTGGAACTTTTCGAATCCGAAATGAAAGCTATCGTCGATAAACATGCACCTGAAATTGAAAAAACAGTTATATGTCGAAATCCGAAGCCATGGTTTACTGAGAGTATAAAACACTCAAAGAGTATTCTGCGCAAATCTGAGCGCATGTGGAGAAAACACAAAAATCCAAATGATTTTGAATTCTTCAAAAATGCAAGGAATAAATACAATTATGAACTAAATCTTGAAAAGAAACGCAAACTTAGTCAAAAAGTGCTCGCATTCAAGGGAGATTCCAAGAAACTCTACAACTTCGTGACTGATCTCACCGGCGGAAAGTCCGAAAATCCAATGCCAACCGTCGAAAACGAAAACAGTTTAGCTGATAAATTTGCAGATTTTTTCATGAACAAAATTGAGACAATACGAGACAACCTTAAACATCATAAGAACTATGAACCATTGCCAAAAGATGTACCAAAATTCGAGGAATTTGGAACATTAAGTGAAAATGATGTGAAAAAAATAATTAATTCCATGCAAACAAAATCATGCGAAATTGACGTTTTGCCAACGAAAGTGTTGAAGTCATTTGTGACTGAACTGCTTCCCATCATTACCACACTAGTGAATCTTTCGTTGTCGCAAGGTGACTTTCCACCAAATTGGAAACAGGCAATAGTTAGACCATTGTTGAAAAAACTTGGACTCGAACTCATTTTTTCTAACTACAGACCAGTGAGCAATTTAACCTACCATTTCTGTCAAAATTAATTGAAAAGGCAGCATTGTTCTATCTTTACAAACATGCAAATGAACACAATCTCCTTCCCAAGAACCAATCAGCGTACCGACAGCATCATTCGTGTGAATCAGCATTACTTCGTCTTGTAAATGACATTCTTGCTGCCATGGAAAATCAAGAAGTAACTGCGTTAATAGCACTGGACTTAAGTGCAGCGTTCGATACCGTCGATCACGACATCCTTCTCGACGTTCTCAATCGTCAGTATGGTATCTGTGGAGTTGCACTCGACTGGTTGGACTCGTACCTGCGACCCAGGAGTTGTCGCGTAAGTGTGAACAATATAATGTCGTCAGCGCGTGATCTTACGTGCAGTGTCCCCCAAGGAAGCTGTTTAGGGCCATGGCTCTACCTCGCGTATGCAGGGACCATATTTGACATTGTTACCCCTACCATCTCCGTGTACGGCTTCGCCGACGATCATACGGCCAGCAAATGTTTCAAACCTACACCCGCTCTCGAGGCCGAATCCATTGCGGAACTAGAAGAGTTCGCAACACAAGCAAATGACTGGATAAACAGTAATAAATTAAAAATGAATTCTTCAAAAACTGAACACATAATTTTCGGAAGTGCTCCTCAGTTGCGTAAACTGTCTAAAGATGAAATTAACATCTGTGGTGATAAGATCAAACGACAAAATACGATCAGATATTTAGGGGCATATTTGGACGAAAATCTGACTTTCAAACATCACATCAAGATAAAGTGTCGAACAGCTATGTTGAGCTTTTTTCGCATAAAAAATATTCGCAAATTCCTCACACAAGATGCAACAGAAACTCTTGTACTCTCACTTGTTATTTCTCACTTAGACTATTGCAACGTGATTCTGTATGGTATTTCAAACTGTGATATTGCAAAACTACAGCGAATTCAAAACATGTGTGCCAAACTAGTATTGAATCGTAGGAAAAGTGAAAGTTCTAAGCAGGCGCTATACGATCTACACTGGCTGCCCATCAAGGCCAGAATACAATTCAAGATTCTTGTATATATGTACAACTGTCACGTTGGAAATGCACCAACTTATTTGACCGACCTGCTTACACCTAAAGTTCAAAAACATTCTCTGAGATCATCATCATTTTCAGTTGACAGTTATGAAGTGTCTTTTAATAAGTGTAAAACTTTCAGTGACAGAAGTTTCAGTACAATCGGCCCGAAACTCTGGAATGATCTTCCATTAAATAACAGACAATGCTCATCAGTTGATAGTTTCAAGAAACACTTGAAGACTCACTTCTTCAGAGACTATTTTAATCTTTTTTAGTCAAAGTCAGTAAAGTGTAGAAACTAAGAGACAATATTTTTCTGCGCATTAACTCTGTGATGAATATCTGATTTTACAATGTATTTATTATCCAAGTAACATTTGCATGTCTTTTACCATGTCCTTTAATAATATAGCCATATTTTTAATTATTTTAAATAACAATACTTTCTTTTATTTGTGATACCATGTTTTAGATTTTAGATTCAGAATTAATTGTTTTATTATTCTTAAACTACATTTATTATTTAAATTTAATGTTCTGATGTGATATTGTACAACGCCATTGAATATGTTTTATATGTAGAAATAGGCGTTTAAGCAAATAAAACAGTTTCAGTTTCAGAAGAAAAGCTGTTCAAAATATCATTATAGGCCATTTCAATCATTTTCAGGCATTCAAAAGCAAAGGTCAATAATGTAGCAATTGTGCTGATAAGAAACCAGATTTACCATTCTTAGATATTTCAGATATAAGTGAGTGTCTGTCCACAAACCTTCAAAAGTTACCTGTCACCTTCAAAAGTTACCTGTTAAACTATCACACTTTAGCAGGGTTCCAACCCACAGCAATGAAGCCCTTATGATTCAAATTAAACCTTTACCACACTAAATATCTTAATTGAACTTGTCCACCTGTCAAACTGGACATAACCATTCAATCGTTTTTAGAATATTTTTCAAAATATGTACTGACTGAATAACAAACAGTGCTGATCTTGGTCTGCACTGGTTGCACGGGTAGACGCAGATGGAGCCAGCTGACCAAGGATTCAATTACTACAACTATCGGATATATCTAATAAATTCAAACCTTTCTGGCCTCTTCTTTTAATCTTTCTTTTTCCCTGGCTTCAGCTTTTTCAATTAACTGAAAAACAAAATAACAAGAGTTATCTGTAAGACAGCAAGCCTCACTATTCATAGAGAAAAGGGACATCACTCAGTTCAAACGTAACTCATCGTTATGGGATATGTGCCTATCATGTTACATAATCAAAGAGAAGTATGTAAAGTGTCAACCCATTCCATAGCGTATTTTTTGAGATACCAACTTATACAGAAACACTTAGCTAAACTGTGACGCCTATGCCAAGGTGAAGTACAGTAGCTTTCCTAATTCTTTGAATAGTCAAGCTAAAAATGTCTAACAACTCTCCTTTATAGCTGAATTCATAAGATAATATATGAGCTGTCTTATTCTAAAAATTACATATTATACTTTCATTTTTCTACCTATGCATGTTCTGTTGTTGTTGTTTTCTATTTCAGAAGGCCACATTGGAAATAATATATATATATGATTGCTATTGTATGTTCTTAATGTGTAACCTTCTTTAAAAAAAGATATTATTATTATCATAATATGCATTTAGCAGGTTATTTCAAATACGTTTTAAAGGAAACTGTTAAACATAGTATTAAATCATTTTAGAATACACGGCAATGTATTTTTTTATCATCTAGAAAAATGGAATAAACTTGTTTAAATTTCCAGGTCATTGGTACTCACACTGTTATATGTCAGTTTAATGTTGCCTGTATCTAGAGTGTTAGCCCTCTTGTCATCTGATATCATGTTTGAAAACTCTTCAAATGTTGTGTTCACTTCTATCATAAACCCTCTATCCTGTGAAATTAAAGTGTAGAAAGCTATACATGTATATCTGATGTAAAAATTATTGTTCAGATTTTAAAACAGGATACTTCCAAAATGATTGTATGAAATAACTAGAAATGTGTCCATAGGACACGGGTGCCCCCACCGCGCCACTGTTCTGTCAATCTTTTTACTAAGTCAAGGGAAATAACTCTTCAAAAATTTGATAAATCCACAAGCGAAACCCCAGGTGCAAATCTAAAATATGCTGAGCAACCTGCCCATAAGGTTTAATGACTATGTCAAATCCAAGTTGAAAATTGCAAAATTTTCTAAGTGAAGGGCAATAACTCTAAAAATACTAAATAAATCCAGACGAAAATACCTGGTGCACAACTGCACATGCTGATCAATATTTCTGTAAAGTTGCATGACTCTAGGTCAAATACTTTTTGAGTTACATGCGACACATGTTGAAAATTGCCAAATTATACTAAGTCAAGGGCAATAACTCTGAAAATACTAAAAATATCCAGATGAAAATACCCAGGTGCACAACTACATATGCTGATCAACATTCCTGTAAAGTTTCATGACTCTAGGTAAAATTCTTTTTGAGTTACGTGCGACACAAGTTGAAAATTGCAAAATTATACTAAGTCAAGGGCAATAACTCTGAAAATACTAAAAATATCCAGAAGAAAATACCCAGGTGCACAACTGCACATGCTGATCAACATTCCTGTAAAGTTTCATGACTCTTGGTCAAATATTTTTTGAGTTACATGCGACACAAGGCTGAAAATTGCAAAATTTTACTAAGTCAAGGGCAATAACTCTGAAAATACTTTATATATCCAGACGAAAATACCCAGGTGCACAACTACACATGCTGATCAACATTCCTGTAAAGTTTCATGACTCTAGGCAGGGCTCACGCTGTCGGTCGCCATAGTCGCCATTTGCGATTATTTTATAAGATTGGCGATTATTTTTGCATTTTGGCTACAAAATCTGGCGATTATTTTTTTACTTCCAAAAGTGTTTATGTAATGTGTAAAAATCGATAATGAATGCAGTAGACCCAATTAACACCAGCGGGGTGCATTTAATTGAGTGTCAACTTTTTACCGGTCACGTGCTGCTAACTATATTGCCCGAGGTGATAAAATACATGCGAGATGTATAATTGTATAAGTACTTTAAAGATATTGTCCAGCATTCATAATAGCCATCAAATATCCATCAATTAGCCACAAAAATCGTTTTAAAATTGATACGCTGGATATTGACTTACCCAAAATTTACCGTGAATTGCACTAAATGCAAATTTTGATATTTTTTTTTGTTTTAAGCTACTTAACTAAATCGCCAGTGGAAAACGATGGTAAAATATTTAAAAAGTATTAACATCCAAACAACTATTTGCACAACAACCAAAATTGTGAATATTTCTTCAGAAAACAGGAAAAATCCGATTGTCACATATTTTCGCGACACCGATAATTTTGATATTTGTTTAAAGGTGAAATAAGCTATGTTCTGTTTAAAAATCTTTACTACTATGGCAGAAAATTTGTATTACATTGGTGATGATGATATTTTTCAGTAAATTTTTCAGAAAAAAGGCTGCATTCTGTGAATGAGTTTGCAAACTTGTGTTATTTCTATAGGCTAATATCACCTAGATCTACTCCAGTTCTGTGTGAAATGTGGAAATTGACAGTGGTTATAGCTGACAAAATTTGATTAGAACAAGCAAAAAAAGTTGTCTGATAACAGCATTATGTAAAGATATAATGAATCTTTAATATTATTGTAAAAAATTTGTTGTACAATAATTATACTAGTTATAACGTTTTTATTCTGTTGACTATAATAACAATTAAAGTTGTGGTTCTATTTAAAAAAAAGGTAGTTATCAATATACACAAATGTGTCAGTTTATTTGAGAATCCTTATAAAACTGAAAGTTTTATATAAATGTAATGTTTATTTAATCAACTGCTTATGTTGTTAATCGCTAATTCGTGAATAGTCCGTTGAACTTTTGGCTATTATTTTTTTAAGTTGAAAATATTGGCTATTATTTTATTTGAGCCAGTGTGAGCCCTGCTCTAGGTCAAAAACTTTTTGAGTTACATGCGACACAAGTTGAAAAGTGCAAAATTTTACTAAGTCAAGGGCAATAACTCTGAAAATACTAAAAATTTCCAGATGAAAATACCCAGGTGCACAACTACACATGCTGATCAACATTCCTGTAAAGTTTCATGACTCTAGGTCAAATACTTTTTGAGTTACATGCGACACAAAAGTGAACGGACGGACGGAAGGACGGACGGACAAGGGTAAATCTAAATGCCCGCCACTAACGTGGGGGCACAAAAATGGCAATTTATTGCCTTAAAAGAGAATGATGCATGCACAAAGGTATTGCTTAACAGATAAAACCCTACTTAAAATAGCAAAATAATATTTCATTCCGGAACATTTTATTCTAATTACATACATTATTCATGTGTATTAAATAATAGAGACATTCTATGTTACAACTTTTTCGGAAATCAACCATATAATAATGAAACAAATATTATATAATTTTACTTCTGGTAAGTTTTATATAAATATTTCATAAGATATAGATTAATACCCTTTAAAGATTTATGTATACTATGCTCAAATTTGATATTTGAAAATACTGATAATTGCTACATAGTGTTTTTGTAAATATAAAATAAACATGTTTTGACTTGAAACCAAGTAGATATGTTAAGTTTTAAACCCTACACACTATAGGTGGAACTATTCCTGAAGTTCAATCATCATATTTGAGCAGCGTCACGACAAAACCAACATAGTGTGTTTGCGACCAGCATTGATCCAGACCTGCCTGTGCATCCGCGCAGTCTGATCAGGATCCATGCTGTTCACTTACAAACCCTATTTTATGTAGAGAAACTGATAGCGAACAGCATGGATCCTGATCAGACTGTGCGGATGCACAGGCTGGTCTGGATCAATGCCATGCTGGTGGCAAAATGCACTATGTTGGTTTTATCATGGCAAGGCTCAATTATATACGTAAGGCCAATCAGAAATAAATTGACAAATGCAAACAATGAGCTGAAGCATCTTACCCTCAATATTTCTTTGACAATCTTTTTCTCATCATGAAACCTTGCCTTCAAATCTTCAACATAAAACTTGAACAAGTCCAGAGGTGTAGATCCTGTATGGAATAAAATGAAACAATAAACTGTCACAGAAACTCTGTAATAAAGAAATATAGTGTGTTTGCGACCAGCATGGATCCAGACCAGCCTGGACGCAGTCTGATCAGGATCCATGCTGTTCGCCTACCCTTTTACAAGTAGAAATTCTGATAGCGAACAGCATGGATCCTGATCAGACCGGCGGATGCAAACACACTATGTTGGTTTTGTCATGACGCGGCTCAGATATCATTGAAGGCCAGTGTTTTACTGATTGATCTATTTTAGAGGAAAAAACCCAAATTTTATGTCTTTTCTTTTTTTTCTTTTTTGTTGGGTTTCATGTCGCACTAACACAGTAGAGACTATATCGCAGCTTCTCATCAACTTTAATGGTGATGGAAGACCTCAGATGACCCTCTGTGCATTATTTCTGGCATGGTGGCACCAAGGTAGAACCACAAACATTCCTTAAAGGAGCTTGATAGCTTCCTCACAAAAAGAATCAAAAGAATCCCAACCCACAGCGGTGAGGGTCAAGTATTTTGAAGTCAAAGGCCTTAACCTACCCCTTATTTTGTTGGACCAACAATTAACAAACAGGACAGTGATTATTCCTCAAGATCAAATTTTACTATGTACTATAAAATTTAAAACATCTCACTTACTGTGACAATATCAAACTTTAAATATAATAACTTGCCTCTCAACTCTTGTGCTTTCAACTTTATTTAAAACTCTGTCATAAAACTGGAAAATTGTTCATTTCAACAAAAAATTCTTAAGATACTGTCAAATATAAATACTTAAATATACAGTATTGTACATAAAACATTATCATGATTTTCATTAAGAAAACAAACCTGGCTGTCCGAGCATGTGCTGAAATCTTATATCACTGCTTATTATGTGAAACAAGTCCATCCAGAGGGACATGGAATTAAGACGTCCTTGTTCGTGTAACTCATCGAGAAGAACAAGAAAACCTTCACGATTTTTACGCTGTTGTCGTTTAAGTCTCCGGCGTTCGCGTTCTTTCTCGTCGTCATTCTCCTGTTCGAGCATTCTGATGTGGTCCTCGAAACATACCAAGGCATCTTCTTTGTCCATGTCTAAAATATGACATCATCAGAAATGTTTTACAACATAAAAAAGTTTTAAATGTCGATTCTGCATATAATTTTGTTGGTTTGTTTGTTTTGGGTTTTACGTCACATCGACACAGTATAGGTCATATCGCGACGTTCCAGCTTTACTGGTGGAGGAAGACCTCAGGTGCCCTTCTGTGCATTATTTCAGGCACAAACAAGCACCTGAGTAGAACCACCGACATTCCGTTATCTGCATATAATATCAACTGTTAATAAGAGTGCCACTGTCATGAAATTCACTTGACACAAATACTCGTTTTTCTTAAGAGTAAAAATTTACATTAAAATCCCTCAATTTATGATGAAGAAATGGTCAGTACTCATTTTTTCATATTTGATTTTCATCTTCATTTGACCTCTGCATGTGACCTTGACCTTGGCCACTCAGACTTTGCACAATATACCTTGATTTTGAGCACAACACTGACTCACAATGATGAATTTACATGCCAAGTTATACAATGCATGTAGAATTTTCAATACAGACACCGGCTTTCTTCTGACCTCTGCATGACCTTGATAAATATTATACATATGAAGCAAAGAAATAATTTGCATACTCTGTAGATCGGGGTCCTCTGTGAATCTTGGATTGTCCAATAACATCTGTTGGGCCTCCGACCAAGTGGTACTGTTAGTCAAGGTAGGCATACTGTCCAATATCTCGTTAAATACTTTGATATTTCTCTTTCTCAGAGTCTTGGCGTCTTCCTATGAAAAAACAAAACAGGTGTATACCTTTTCATGTTAATTTGTAACCCAGGTGTATACCTTTTCAAGTTAATTTGTAACCCAGGTGTATACCTTTTTCAAGTTAATTTGTAACCTAGGTGTATACCTTTTCAAGTTAATTTGTAACCCAGGTGTATACCTTTTCAAGTTAATTTGTAACCCAGGTGTATACCGTTTCAAGTTAATTTTTAACCCAGGTGTATACCTTTTCAAGTTAATTTGTAACCCAGGTGTATACCTTTTCAAGTTAATTTGTAACCCAGGTGTATACCTTTTCAAGTTAATTTGTAACCCAGGTGTATACCTTTTCAAGTTAATTTGTAACCCAGGTGTATACCTTTTCAAGTTAATTTGTAACCCAGGTGTATACCTTTTCAAGTTAATTTGTAACACTTTTTAAGTGACATTATGCCCATCCAAGTGTAAATAGTAAGTGCACAGGTCAAAGTAAAATTTACTTTACATTTTGTCATATTTGTATTCAAATTTCAAGAATAATCCGTAATCCATGACACACAGAAATTTCTATAAATATTGTTTTGTACTAATTAAATATTATCATGTAATGGTAATGTTTAGAATGTATTGGGAATGTTCAATTTTTTTAAAAAAAGGGTGGGTTGGTCTTGGTATAATTTATGTACTTTTTATATTTTATCTTAAGCATTTTTTATTATCAATAATAAGTCAATCACCATTATAATAATTAATCTTTTGACGTTTTATAACTCGACAGCAAAAAACTGAGCAAAATGTCACTTTAAGGTCGTTTGTGGCGTTTTTTTAAGCTCATAACTGTGTAATTGATTCATTTTGTCAGGTAAAAAGGCATTTGAATGGACCTATCTTAAGCAGCCATTATCATTACAAAATTTACAGATAAAAACCAAAAAGAATACAGATAAGGACAAATGATGTTTTGTCCGTGTAAGTTGTTTATTTTGTACAAGATTTTTCTTTCACTACCTTAACCAGACTTGTCATGGATTCTTTTATCTCAATTTCTCAAAATGTACACTGAAAAAACAAGGATGGTGCAAAAACAACAATAGGATGGTACAAAAACAACAAGAGGATGGTACAAAAACAACAATAGGATGGTACAAAAACAACAATAGGATGGTACAAAAACAACAATAGGACGGTACAAAAACAACAACAAAAATTGTGATGTAGACATTATCATTTATGTGGGTATATAATAGTGTAGCTGACAAAACAATGTTAATTGGTGCAAAAGTGTGCAGTAATAATCAATATAACCGCAAAGATTTGATAAAATGCTTTTTGTGTTGGGGTGATTAAAGATCCTGTATTTTGTAATTTTGTGTGTATTTGTGTTTATTTATACTCGCCACCGTTTGCCCATATGGGCGAGTCTTTTGGGGGATAGTGCAAGATGCAGATACAGAAAGATGCCCCAATTCCAGAGGCTTCTCCTGGTTCTTAAACCTGCCAAGTGTTTAAGCACCCATACACGGGATATTGATTTAAAGACTCATCCGAAAGACTGATTAGTAATTTTAGTTGTAATTAAGGTTGTAAAATACAGTTAAGTGAAGTTTTTATATATGTAATATTATTATTCTTCTACAACAATTTCTGACAACATCCAAGAATATGTTAAAATATGTACAGCAAATGTTTATATACATTTTCATTAAACGTTAAAATTTATGAATTCATTTTTTATTGAAAAAAAAAACTGGCTTAAACTTTATCAGAAATAAATTTCCAATTACCTCCCTTTATTTGCATGAAATTTTAATTTCGGTAAAACCTTTACAAACTAGAACTATCACTAAATGTGATTAATACCCCCACAAGTCTGCCTCGGAAATGAGGATGTTACTAGTAAAAGAATACCTTGTAATAGAATTGAAACATAGAGTTATGGGTGTGGGCAATAAAAGATAATTGTGGTTCATGTATGTTGCATTTCCTTTCAATGTGGTTGGCCATTGATGAAGTTTAATTAAATAACTCTGTAATAAGTCCAGAAAGACAAAGAAAAAGAACAAAGGGCAATAACTCTATAAATACTGAAGATAGAGTTATAGTTCTTGTGCACTGCACTTCCTCTTATTGTGCTTGACCATTGTATGAAGTTGTTTTGAATTCCAACCAGTACATTTTAAGTTATGCTCCGGACAAGGAAAAGTATCAAAGGGCAGTAACTCTGTATTTTGTCAAAATGGAGTTATGGCTCTTGTGCACTGCACTTCCTTTTAATGTCCTTGACAACTGTATGAAGTTGTTTGTTTTGTTTGTTTTGTTTGTTTTGGGTTTTACGTCACTTTGACACAGTATAGGTCATATCGCGACGTTCCAGCTTTACTGGTGGAGGAAGACCTCAGGTGCCCTTCCGTGCATTATTTCAGGCACGAACGGGCACCTGAGTAGAACCACCGACGTTCCGTAAGCTAGCTGGATAGCTTCCTCACATGAAAGAATCCAAAGTCCCTGTCGGGATTCGAACCCATAGCGGTGAGGGGCAAAGTGGTTTGAAGTCAACGACCTTAACCACTCGGCCACGGACGCCCCTGTATGAAGTTGTACTGAATTCCAAACAGTAGTTTTCAAGTTATGCTCTGGACAAGGAAAAGTAACAAAGGGCAATAACTCTGTAATTAGTCAAGATGGAGTTATGGTTCTTGTGCACTGCACTTCCCCTTATTGTGCTTGACCATTGTATGAAGTTGTTTTGAATTCCAACCAGTAGTTTTCAAGTCATGCTCTGGACAAGGAAAAGTAACAAAGGGCAGTAACTCTGTAATTAGTCAAGATGGAGTTATGGTTCTTATGCACTGCACTTCCTCTCAATGTGCTTGACCATTGTATGAAGTTATAATGAATTCCAACAATAAGTCTTCAAGTTATGGTCCGGACAAAAGAAAGCAATGGAAAAGTAACAAAGGGCAATAACCCTGTAATTAGTCAAGATGGAGTAATGGTTCTTGTGCACTGCACTTCCCCTTATTGTGCTTGGCCATTGTATGAAGTTGTTTTGAATTCCAACCAGTAGTTTTCAAGTCATGCTCTGGACAAGGAAAAGAAACAAAGGGCAGTAACTCTGTAATAAGTCAAAATGGAGTTATGGTTCTTGTGCACTGCACTTCCTCTCAATGTGCTGGACCATTGTATGAAGTTATAATGAATTGCAACAATTAGTCTTCAAGTTATGGTCCGGACAAAAGAAAGCAATGGAAGAGTAATAAAGGGCAATAACTCTGTAATTACTTTAGATAGAGTTTTGGTTCTTATGCACTGCACTTCCTCTCAATGTGCTTGACCATTGTATGTAGTTATATTGAATTCCAACCATTAGTCTTCAAGTTATGGTCCGGTCAAAAAAAAGAAGGCAATGGAAAAGCAACAAAGGGCAATAACTTTGTAATTACTTTAGATAGAGTTATGGTTCTTGTGCACTGCACTTCCCCTTATTGTGTTTGACAATTGTATGAAGTTGTTTTGAATTCCAACCAGTAGTTTTCAAGTTATGCCACGGACAAGGAAAAGTAACAAAGGGCAATAACTCTGTAATTAGTCAAGATAGAGTTATGTTTCTTACGCACTGCACTTCCTCTCAATGTGCTTGACCATTGTATGTAGTTATATTGAATTCCAACCATTAGTCTTCGAGTTATGCTCCGGACAAGGAAAATGCAACAGACAAAAAAAAAAAGCAATGGAAAAGCAACAAAGGGCAATAACTCTGTAATTACTTTAGATAGAGTTATGGTTCTTGTGCACTGCACTTCCCCTTATTGTGTTTGACAATTGTATGAAGTTGTTTTGAATTCCAACCAGAAGTTTTCAAGTTATGCCCCGGACAAGGAAAAGTAACAAAGGGCAATAACTCTGTAATTAGTCAAGATAGAGTTATGGTTCTTGTGCACTGCACTTCCTCTCAATGTGCTTGACCATTGTATGTAGTTATATTGAATTCCAACCATTAGTTTTCAAGTTATGCTCCGGACAAGGATAATGCAACGGACGTCTGGACCGACCGCCCGACCGACCACCGGGTGACTCCTATATACCCCCCCAAACTTCGTTTTTGGGGGTATAATAATGCTTTTTGAAACCTACAATATTGATAAATCTTCATTTGAGCATCAGATTTATCATATAAAACCATAAACATAATTTGTGTTCCAGGATCTTTAAAGTTCGTAATGAACCAACCTTTTCTCGTTTTTCAAGCATATGTACCACATCATCAAACAGTTCCCTCCTGTCCCGGTCATTAACGGCTTGCCATTCATCATAGTCTGAGAACAAACTGTCAGCTTTCCTGAAATACAGAAATATGTTACTTCACTGGTGCAGTTGCCTTTTTTAAAGGAACTCCACTGAGGTTCAAAAGCTTAAGAACATAAAAATTGAATTTTTACATAGATCAGCCAAGGCACTTTAAACAGACACAAATGAAAAAGAAAATTAAGAAATAAACTCAGAAATAAATTGAAAAATCACATTTTTGTGTTATTTATAGCCCATCTTGAGTGAAAAGAGTTTGCACATTTTTCAATTTCGGGTAATTTGACACAATTGGAATACATTAAGCTGAAAAACGGAATGAGCAGATGATCTGAAATTTTGCACACAAGTTATAAGACTAGACCTGCATCAAATACAAAATTAATTTCTAAAAATTATTTTCATGGAACATTAATTTCAAAATAATTATTTCCAGTCCCATCATGTCCAAAAATCCTGAGAGGAGTGCCTTTAAATGAAACATATAGCAATAAATGATGGATGGTCCTCAAACCTCAAACTAGATTTCTGTCAATATACTACAATGCAAAATATGAAAGAAAAACATAAAAATCTATTTTTAGCATCGCTGACCTTGACTGTGACAGCTAAGGCCAAATTTAGAGTACTACCAATGATATGTCTTACCAAATATAAAAGACATTGGTAAAGAAGTAAAGGCTGTACGAACAAAAGTGTAAACATCTATTTTTAGAATAAGCGTCCTTGACCTATGTGACCCTTAACTCCACTTAAAGTAAGAGGACCATCCAACATATCTATCTACCACATAAGGAGAGATATTGGTTGAAATAAATGAAGTTGCTAGGAGCAACTGTAGGAAAGCATTACAGCAAACAGAATAAAACTTTGGAAGGACCAAGCAGCTACTATAAAAATTATGGGAGCATTAATCTAAATATCAGCAGATTCTGGCCCCCGTGTTCACATAGATTTAAGGATCAGGATCAAGATCAGGATCAAATTTAAAAACTCAAATATTCTTCTTTATTAATCCTCAAAGATTCAATATTATTTTGATAAAACTGGACTTGAAATAGCATGTTCATAAATTTTTAGAATAGATTTATTGTTATTTTTACAAGAGACGGGCATTTTACAGTTAATCCATATTTTGATCTTGATCCTAAAATTGATCCTCATTTTGATCTATTCATTTTTTTATTTGTTTTGATATTTGTTGATTTTATCCAAAAATAGGTAGGTTTCTTTGTAAATAAGCAATTATTATCATTCCGAATAATATTATGCACCATTTAATTCTAGCATAATACGATCAGTTTTAGTTTTTATAAAACAATGAAAATAAAATCAGGATCATTTGAGCCTGATCCTGATCTTTTCTTTGTGAACACGGGGCCTGTATTCTGTTAACACTCACCAATATTTAACACTAGAGGTCATCTTGTCATGATGTAACAAGAACTGTTCAAGATCTTCCTTTGCCTGCTTGGCTCTAAGTCTGGCCTCTTCCTGTATTAAACAATATTATTATATGTATGCAACAAAATAATTTAGTTGAAGCTTCTTCTTCACATTTCTATGATACAAGTTTTTTTATTCAAAAACAAATCATGTAATAAAGTGATTACAGAAATAAATCATACATGAAACAAAGTGCTAGATACAAAATTTGATACAAAGAAATTGCTTAACAGGTAAATTGCTAATTACATGTAACTATCCATTTCAAAAAGTTAATCAACCTCCATTGTCAAATAGATAGCTACTTATTTATTAATTGTTTCCAGAGTAGTTTTTACATTGAATTAAAAAAAACCCTCAAAAAACATATAGCATATATATACTAAGCACAGACTTATAAAACAGAGGGATATGAAGTTCTAAAATTAGAGTATTTTCTTCTCCAGACCAACAATCCTTTTTGCGAGGTATATTGGTCCATGAAGTTGGTCGATTTCTGCCATCTTGTTTGAAATAAATAACATCCTCTCTCTCCATTTAAATATAGCTCTGTGCTCATAGTATCAATTTTCTGACTTTTTTTTACCACATTGCTCGTAATAACTCACCTTTTCTTCCTTCACTCGCTGCGTCTTGTACTCATTAAATGCTTGTTTTCTCTCATTTAGATGTTTCAATGCCCCGTAGCGTGGATCATTTACTATCAACTTCATGGCGTTCTCCCAGGTTGCGTTAGAAGGCACTTTCTGAATGACAAAAATAAACCAACTTCAATTCTATGTCATGATGGTAGAAACATTTATAATACATGTACAAGTATTTTTTAAACTGTACTTGAAAATTTTTTTTGAAGGCCCATTATGCCTCAGAAATTATTTTCTGTTTATTCTTCACAAGCTTTTTAATTTTGATGACCAGTTATATTTTCCAAAATGTTACTCATTGGCCAAATACTTGAGGCATCTTTTTCACCTGCTGCTTTTTGGCAATAATTACAGTTACAGTGAATAAGTATTTTGTATGGAAGTCAAAATACTACTTTGTTTACATTCCACTACTTTTATGACAAATAATTCCTCATTTTCATTACTTACTGTCTTCAAGTGTAATGCATCTAACATGCTCTCAAATCATTATTTGGGCCGCGTCATGACAAAACCAACATAGTGCGTTTGCGACCAGCATGGAACCAGACCAGCCTGTGCATCCATGCTGGTCGCAAACCCATTATGTTGGTTTTGTCATGACTTGGCTTATTTAATGTTATTAAACCAATGTACACTCTTTCTACATAAGGGGAAAAAACACACTTATTTCTAAGGTATAATGTGCCTTAAAAACAATTTAAACAAGTACAGAATCTATTATGAATCAATATAAATCAGAAACACTCAAAAGAAAAAAGTCCATCAGCATAAAACCTGCACACATAGTTATTATCTTTATGTTAATGGAGGCTGTCTTGACATGATGTAACTAACAGTATTTATCACACACCCGTGCCAATTTTGTGACTCCGTCAAAACGCATATTTTTTGACATGACATCATTAGCGTTATACAAACATAGTGTAAAGACGCGGTAAATGTTAGCGTTATACTATAGGCGCATCAAAGAAAGATGACTCTTTTTTTCACTTTAAACGGTTTTTATTTTGGGTATGTGATAAATAAAATATTAAATTCATGTAAGTTCATTACTAAATTTATTGAACTCAATGAATAAAATAATATTATGCTCGCCAGAGGCTCGCATGATATAATTATATTCAACTCGTGCAATAAATACAGTATTGAACTTACACTCATTCAATATCCTCTATTTATTTAATTTTCCTGATCATAATAATTACTCAATTAATGACCTGGTAAAAGAACCCTTTCCAAATATAGATAACTTTATATGCAATGAAAAAATTATAAATGAACAATTTTTTGACAATGAATAAAAGTTTTTTATTCGATGTCAAATAATCAAATAAATCATTTATATATTTTTTTTTTGTTGTTGTTGGGTTTAAGGTCACCCCAACACAGTATAGGTCATATGGTGACATCCAGCTTTACTGGTGGAGGAAGACTTTATGTGTGCATTATTTCAGGCATGAACGTGCAGGCACATAAGTAGAAATACTGACGATCCTTAAACTAGCTGGATAGCTAATCCAAAGTCACTGCTGAGTTACGAAACCTGCAGCGGTGAAGTAGTTAGTGGTTTGAAGTCAACAACATTAAACACTCGGCCACGGATGTCCATGAATCTATTTATAAGAACTAAATTAAATTCTCATGTCATTATAAACTGCTAAATGACCATCTCAATCTTGAATAACTGGCATAACCGTACCTTTTCTTTCAACAATGATTTGAAGGCATCCATTGCTTCCTTCTTGTTACGGAACTTCAGGTTGACCGGCGGTTTCTTCTGTACTGGTTTTTCCTCCTCAGACTCTTCACTACTGTAGATAAAATATATATTTATTTTAGACCTTTTACACTGCAAAAGAATTTAAAGTTAGATTTGCAAAGAAACATTGCAATCCACCCAACTGTTAAAGTCACACATATTCCCTTTTTTATAACAGATGTATACAATGAAAACTGAATGTTAAAAGAGTTCTTGTAGAAAAGTAATTCTAGTACTGTACTTGAATAAAAGTTTTATGCTAGTGTTTTTTTGTTTTGTTTTTTTTGGTTTTTTTTTTGCATTCAGAGCCCAGCCTATACAAACAGTATTCACTTCACTGACAGCAAAAACTCACTTTAAACTAGCTCTTATCCTACATGAACATCTTCACCGGGATACCGGGATAGAGTCTGGTAAGCCTCGGCCTGCACTGGAGTGCAGTGTGACCAGGTTGGTATATAAACTTTGTATATTATGATATTGAAAATCCCCTTTACTTTTAAAGAACTGTTACAAAATTCAAAGCAAGGTTTAAAACATTACAAAAATAGAGTAGGTTAAATGAGCCGCATCACAACAAAACCAACATAATGCGTTTGCGACCAGCAAGGATCCGCTCAGTCTGATCAGGATCCATGCTGTTCGCTTACCAACTCTATAACAAGTAGAGAAACTGATAGTGAACAGCATAGATCCTGATCAGACTGCGCGGATGCGCAGGCTGGTTTGATCCATTGCAAATGAACTATGTTGGTTTTGTTGTGACACGACTCAAATGTATCATACCTGCTATCTGAAGATTCCTTCTCCACAGGTTTGGGTTGTGTGACAGCTTTTGGCGGAGGTGGTAGCTCAATAGAGGCTAGGGTGGCCTGCATGGCTTGTTCTATTGTAGACAGAGGTTTGGCAGGTTTAGGGGCCTCCGTACTGGCTGGAGCGTCACTGGCTGCTGATTCCCCTCTGTAAAATAATAATATATTGTTTTTATATTGTTTATATAAAAGGGAGATCCTGCAGTGTTATTATATTATTTATATGAAAGGGAAATCATACATTGTTTTTATATTGTTTATATGAAACAGAGATTATACAGTGTTTTAATATTGTTTATATGAATGAGAAATCATACATTGTTTTTGAAAGGGAGATAATACATTGTTTATATGAAAGGAAGATATAACATTGTTTATAAACTATGAACGGGAGGGGGGTCATAGATTGTTTATATGAAAGGGAAATCATACATTGTTTTTTATATTGTTTATATGAAAGGGAGTTCATACATCTCTTTCAAAATGTTGATCAAATAATGGACATGAACTTAGTCAAAAGGACTTCATGATTTCCTGACTTGAATATGGTAACAAGTTTGAATATTAAGATAAAGTACTAACCTCTCTTGTTCCCTTTGCTTTGCGATGCTTGCTGGAAAAAAAAAGAGAAATGCTTAATTCAAAGACAAATTCTAAGATAAAGAATGTATAGCAAGCAACTTTCCATAACTGATTCTTTACATTTTAAAATAAAGGGTACCCGCTGTGGCTCGCCAATAGCGCCAAATGCAACAAAATATTATTTCTGGCAGATAAATGGACAAGAAAGTATGTCACTGTCCCCTTGGGCAAGGCAAAATTTTCATCCATTGGCAAATTTCACTGGCGCCAACGTTAGATTACAGAATCCTACAAGTTTTCTCAAGTTCGTAAATATGGCAATTTGAGCAAAGGACGTGTTATTGCTAAACAATCAGAACATTAAGGATACTGCCACGTACGAGTTCCACATTCGTGAAATGATTTGTGAATTTTTACCCTAAAACTCCTATTAAACGTTGGTCTAACATTTTATTACAAGAGCCCGGTTTGACCCGGGTGATGCTTCCCGAATAGGTTTTGGACAAAGAAAAGTACACTTCTTGTAGTTTTAGAGTTATGTCCCTTGAAGAAGTTCAAAGTGCAATTATTCCAAATTAGGCAAGGCAGAGTTACTGTGCTTTGCACTGCACTTCTAATCAATGCGATCTATCAACCTACAAAGTTTCTAGTTGATACCTCTTATGGTTTCCGAGTTATGATCCGGACAAAGTTCAAAATGTAAAAATTAACAAAGTGCAATAAATACAAAATTTGGCAAGGCAGAGTTCAAGTTCTTAAGCACTGCACATCTACCCATTGAGATCTATCTACCTAAAAAGTTTCATGTTGATATCTCTTACAATTTTAGAGTTATGTCCTCGACAAGATTTTTTTTAAAAGGGGAGATAATTCAAAAACCGGGTAGAATAGAGTTATGGTTCTTTGACACTGCACTCCCCCTCAATGAGATCTAACTACCTACACTGTTTGATGTTGATATCTCTTATAGTTTTAGAGTTATGTTCCGGACAAAGTTCAAAGTGTTAAAATTAACAAAGGGCAATAACTCCAAAATTAGGCAAAAAAGAGTTATGATTCTTATGCACTGCACATCTACCCATTGAGATCTATTTACCTACAAAGTTTTATGTTGATATCTCTTATAGTTTGAGAGTTATGTCCAGGACAAGATTTTTCTAAGAGGGGGGATAATTCAAACAAGAGCCCGGTTTGAGCCGGGTGATGCTCCCCGAAAAGGTTTTGGACACAGGAAAGTACACCTCTTGTAGCTGTGGAAAAAGTTCAAAGTGCAAAAATTCAAAATTAGGCAAGGAAGAGTTACTGTTCTTTGCACTGCACTTCTAATCAAAGTCATCTATCAACCTACAAAGTTTCTTGTTGATATCTCTTATGGTTTCTGAGTTTTGTCCCGGACAACTTCAAAAAGTAAAAATAAACAAAGGGCAATAACTCCAGAATTAGGCAATGCAGAGTTATGATTCTTGTGCACTGCACATCTACCCATTGAGATATATCTACCTACAAAGTTTCATGTTGATATCTCTTATAAATTTACAGCTATGTCCTGGACAATATTTTTCTAAAAGGGGATTCAAAAATGAGGCTAAAAAGAGTTATGGTTCTTTTGCACTGCACTTCTACTCAATGAGATCTACCTACCTACAATGTTTCATGTTGATATCTCTTATAGTTTTAGAGTTATGTTCCTGACAAAGTTCAAAGTGTTAAAATTAACAAAGGGCAATAACTCCAAAATTAGGACAAAAAGCGTTATTGTTCTTATGCACTGCACATCTACCCATTGAGATCTATTCACCTACAAAGTTTCATGTTGATATCTCTTATAGTTTTAGAGTTATGTCCCAGACAAGATTTTTTCTATCAAGGGTGATAATTCAACAAGAACTGTCGGTAGACAGTAACGCTCGACTATTCGAAAAATTTGTCACAAGGGTGTTTCATTGAGTATAATAATGCTTACCTATATGAATACATAAAATTGTCCGAAAAGGTACAAACTCTTCAAGTTTCAATACATTCCCTTCAGTAGTTATGGAGATACAAGCTTACATGCAAAAACTTAACCAAGAATTCATGAGTCGAAAAAGGGGCATAATTATGCAAAGAAGGAAATCAGAGTTATGGGACTTGTACCAATCATCTTAGATAATCACAGAGACCAAGTGTGTGAAGTTTCAATCCATTCCCTTCAGTAGTTATGGAGATACCAGCTTACATGCAAAAACTTAACCAAGAATTTCTAAGTCGAAAAAGGGGCATAATTATGTAAAAAAGCAAATCAGAGTTATGGGACTGGTGCCAATCATCTTAGATAATCACAGAGAACAAGTGTGTGAAGTTTCAACCCATTCCCTTCAGTAGTTATGGAGATACCAGCTTACATGCAAAAACTTAACCAAGAATTTCTAAGTCGAAAAAGGGGCATAATAATGTAAAAAAGCAAATCAGAGTTATGGGACTCGTGCCAATTATCTTAGATAATCACAGAGAACAAGTGTGTGAAGTTTCAATCCATTCCCTTCAGTAGTTATGGAGATACCAGCTTACATACAAAAACTTAACCAAGAATTTGTAAGTCAAAAAAGGGGCATAATAATGTAAACAAGAGGGCCATGATGGCCCTGAGGTCGCTCACATGTATATCGGCCCCCAGAGCGGGGACAGTTTAAACCCCAGGGATTTTATTTGAACAAACTTGGAAGACACCCATTAGAAGATGTTTCATGATGTTAAGTTTTTACTACACACATATAAAGAAAAATAATGACCTTCCCCCTTTCTCTCTCCTCTCCTTCCCCCCCGGCAGGGCCAATTTTAACCCAAGGGCTTTTATTTGAACAAACTTGGTAGACACCCATAAGAAGATATTTCATGCTAAACATCTAAGCTCTAGCTCATTTGGGTTTTTTAAAAGAAGATTTTTTAAGTTTTTACTATAATATAGTTAAAAAGAATGACACCCCTTGGGCGGGGCCAGTTTTGACCCTGGGCTTTTATTTGAACAAACTTTGTAGACACTTACTAGAAGATGTTTCATGCTAAATATCTTAGCTCTAGCTCTTTGGGTTCTTTCAAAGAAGATTTTTAAGTTTTTGCTATACACATAAAAGGAAAATCAATGACCCCCCGGGCGGGGCCAATTTTGACCCCAGGGCTTTTATTTGAACAAACTTTGTAGACACTCACTAGAAGATAATTCATGCTTAATATCTAAACTCTAGCTATTTTGGTTTTTTCAAAGAAGATTTTTAAGTTTTTGCAATACATATATAAGGAAAATCAATGACCCCCGGGGCGGGGCCAATTTTGACCCCAGGGCTTTTATTTGAACAAACTTGGTAGACACCCATTAGAACATGTTTCATGCTAAATATCTTAGCTCTAGCTCTTTGGGTTTTTTAAAAGAAGATTTTTTAAGTGTTTACTATATGCATATAGGGAAAATCAATGACCCCCGGGGCGGGGCCAATTTTGACCCCAGCGTTTTTATTTGAACAAACTTGGTAGACATCCATTAGAACATGTTTCATGCTAAATATCTTAGCTCTAGCTCTTTGAGTTCTTTAAAAGAAGATTTTTTAAGTTTTTACTATATGCATATAGGGAAAATGTATGACCCCCGGGGAGGGGCCAATTTTGACCCCAGGGCTTTTATTTGAACAAACTTGGTAAACACTTATTAGAAGATGTTTCATGCTAAAAATCTTAGCTCTAGCTCTTTGGGTTTTTTAAAAGAAGATTTTTTAAGTTTTTACTATATGCATATAGGGAATATCAATGACCCCCTGCGGGCAGGGCCAATTTTGACCCCAGGGCTTTTATTTGAACAAACTTGGTAGACACTCACTAGAAGATGTTTCATGCCAAATATCTAAGCTCTAGCTCTTTGGGTTTTTTAAAAGAAGATATTTAAAGTTTTTTCTTTCGGTTGCCATGGCAACCAGAGTTCTGCATGGAATTAAATTCTTTGAACAATTTTTAAAGGAGACCACCAAAGGAACATTCCTGTGAAGTTTGGATGAAATTGGCTTAGTGGTTTATGAGGAGATGTCATTTAAAGTAAAAGTTTACGGACGGACGGACGGACGGACGGACGCTGGACGAAAAGCGATCACAAAAGCTCACCCTGTCACTTTGTGACAGGTGAGCTAAAAAGTAGACACCAACAAAAAGATGTTTCCTGCTTAAAATCTAACCTCTAGCTCATTGGGTTTTTTAAAAGAAGATTTTTTAAGTTTTTACTATACACATATAGTTAAAAACAATGACACCTCTGGGGCGGGCTAGTTTTAACCCTAGGGCTTTTATTTGAACAAACTTTGTAGACACTTACAAGAAGATGTTTCATTCTAAATATCTGAACTCTAGCTATTTGGGTTTTTTCAAAGAAGATTTTTAAGTTTTTGCCATACACATATAAGGAAAATCAATGACCCCCGGGGCGGGGCCAATTTTGACCCCAGGGCTTTTATTTGAACAAACTTTGTAGACACCCATTAGAGCATGTTTCATGCTAAATATCTTAGTTCTAGCTCTTTGGGTTCTTTAAAAGAAGATTTTTTAAGTTTTTACCACATGTATATGCATATAGAGAAAATCAATGACCCCCTGGGGCGAGGCCAATTTTGACCCCAGGGCTTTTATTTGAACAAACTTGGTAGACACTCTCTAGAAGATGTTTCATGCTTAATATCTAAACTCTAGCTATTTGGGTTTTTTCAAAGAAGATTTTTTAAGTTTTTGCTATACACATATAAGGAAAATCAATGACCCCCGGGGTGGGGCCAATTTTGACCCCAGAGCTTTTATTTGAACAAACTTTGTAGACACCAATTAGAACATGTATCATGCTAAATATCTTAGCTCTAGCTCTTTGGGTTCTTTAAAAGAAGATTTTTTAAGATTTTACTATATGCATATAGGGGAAATCAATGACCCCCTGGGGCGGGGCCAATTTTGACCCCAGGGCTTTTATTTGAACAAACTTGGTAGACACTCTCTAGAAGATGTTTCATGCTTAATATCTAAACTCTAGCTATTTGGGTTTTTTCAAAGAAGATTTTTTAAATTTTTGCTATACACATATAAGGAAAATCAATGACCCCCGGGGTGGGGCCAATTTTGACCCCAGAGCTTTTATTTGAACAAACTTTGTAGACACCCATTAGAACATGTATCATGCTAAATATCTTAGCTCTAGCTCTTTGGGTTCTTTAAAAGAAGATTTTTAAGATTTTACTATATGCATATAGGGGAAATCAATGACCCCCTGGGGGCAGGGCCAATTTTGACCCCAGGGCTTTTATTTGAACAAACTTTGTAGACACTCACTAGAAGATGTTTCATGCTTAATATCTAAACTCTAGCTATATGGGTTTTTACAAAGAAGATTTTTTTAAGTTTTTGCTATACACATATAAGGAAAATCAATGACCCCCGGGGCGGGGCCAATTTTGACCCCAGGGCTTTTATTTGAACAAACTTTATAGACACCAATTAGAAGATGTATCATGCTAAATATCTTAGCTCTATGGGTTCTTTAAAAGAAGATTTTTTAAGTTTTTACTATATGCATATAGGGAAAATCAATGACCCCCTGGGGCGGGGCCAATTTTGACCCCAGGGCTTTTATTTGAACAAACTTGGTAGACACTCACTAGAGGATGTTCCATGCCAAATATCTAAGCTCTAGCTCTTTCGGTTTTTTAAAAGAAGATATTTAAAGTTTTTTCTTTTGGTTGCCATGGCAACCAGAGTTCTGCATGGAATTAAATTCTTTGAACAATTTTTAAAGGTGACCACCAAAGGAACATTCCTGTGAAGTTTGGATGAAATTGGCTTAGTGGTTTATGAGGAGATGTCATTTAAAGTAAAAGTTTATGGACGGACAGACGACGGACGGACGCCGGACGGATGGACGCCGGACGAAAAGCGATCACAAAAGCTCACCCTGTCACTTTGTGACAGGTGAGCTAAAAAGCAAATCAGAGTTATGGGACTTGTGCCAATCATCTTAGATAATCACAGAGAACAAGTGTGTGAAGTTTCAATCCATTCCCTTCAGTAGTTATGGAGATACCAGCTTACATACAAAAACTTAACCACAGGGACGCCGACGCCGACAAATGGGTGACTGCATTAGCTTGATTATTCTGTGAAGAGTCGAGCTAAAAACCGGGCAAAATAGAGTTATGGTTCTTTGACACTGCACCCCCCTCAATGCACTCTACCACTGTATAAAGTTTAAACAAATTATCTCCAAGGGTTTTCAAGTTTTACTCCGGACAAGACAACGGACGGACAGACGGACAAGGCGCCAACTATATGCTCCCCCGAAATTTTTCTGGGAGCATAAAAACAGGACAAAATAGAGTTATGGTTCTTTGACACTGCACTCCCCCTCAATGCCCTCTACCACTGTATGAAGTTTAAACAAATTATCTCCAAGGGTTTTCAAGTTATGCTCCGGACAAGAAAACGGACGGACAGACGGACGGATTCCTACTGAGTTGACATTATGGGGTTTTTTCTTTGATCTCCTTTGATCTCTAAAACCCCATAAGCAACGTATTTGCACCCCATAAGCAACCTTTTTCCTCACAAGTACCGTCTATACGGATTGAACATGGATATTCACCCCACATCGTCATTTCAGTGAGAGCGGACAGACGGCCGGACGGATGGACGGACAAGGTGACGACTATAAGCTCTCCCTTCGGGGAGCATAAAAACTCAATTTCTCCTAAATCCAAAAAAATCATTGTAAATATGTTTGGTGTTAAACAAGTTTTCATAATTACGTTTAAAAGTGTTAAAGTTTAAAGTTTATATGATACATTTTTGTGTTTACTATAAAATAAAATGGATTCTGAAGGATTTGTATAAAATCATGGATTTACTCACAAGTTCAGCACTGGTGAGTAGATTTTCTCCTTATCAAAAAACCTGGGGGAGGGGAAAGGGCATTTAAAAGGAATTTTACAGTATCTGGAAATATTACCTTATTTTTGAAAAAAAGTGAAATAATTTAACTCTTTCAGAACTAACACCTCAAACATTTCTAAACAGTCTAGCCTGGAAGTTTAAATTTCTCAGGATTTTCATTGGTTAGTGTTCATTCTGAGCTAATTTTTGACCAATCAAAATACCCGAGATACATAGTGTCCCTTTAATGATAGGGTATGGCTTATTAACTACATGAAACCAACCTTCTAATTCCTCCAGTTCTTTAGGTTTGGTCCACCTGGATTCCTTGGTGACAGAGTTATGATAGTAAACCTTCCCTGTATCTGATTTATATTCTTTCCATGGACATCTTGCTAGCAACATCTACATGAAAATATGTAAATAAAGTTCTCACAGTCATCACAGAAATTGAAATATAATCTCTAGATGCAAGTTGTGAAGTTTATTAATCTTTACTCTACTGAAAATGAACAGGTGAATATTGTTACATAATTTTTGAAGACAATATCCTAAATTTATCCCATTAAAATCAATGCAATTTGATAATACTCAAAATTTGTCCAATGAAAACTGATGTTATAAACATGCAGTGTGACAATATATCAAATTTGTCCAATGAAAATCAATGTAATAAACAGGTAGTTTGACACGGCAATGGGAACTACCTCGGCTATTATCTATATTAATAACCTCGGAAACAATACGGATTGAAAGTAGTTCTACCACGTGGTTTCAGATGTAAACAGAAACAGAGATAATGTAAAATGAATGTACATATCACTGACATCCAAAAGAAAATTAGGTCTGTTTCGGTACAATTATGATAGAAAATATGTCCGACAACCATTTTTAATTTAAATATGCCCACTGATATACAATTCTAAACAAATGCAATTTACAATTATAATTTACAATTTATATTTATAAACATACAAATAACATATTGCTTGCTTTTGTATCTATGAATTCACTTATTTTAGGTGGGCATTTACTTCATATATTAGAAATAAACTTTTCAACAACTTCCAGCATTAAATCACTAATTGTTTACATGTCTAGTTTCTTAGCGTATGTTAGACCCAAAAACTGTATCTGTTCTGTGTATTCCTACTATTGTGTTCGAGGTATTTATCTGAAGACTGACGGAAAGGGCCAAAAAGTTACGATTGTTGACACGGCTCCAAATTTATCCAATGAAAATTGATGTTATAAACATGCAGTTTGACACCTACTCCAAATCTGTCCAATGAAAATCAATGTTATAAACAGGAAGTGACATATAACTTCAATTTGACCAATGAAAATGCATGTTATAAATATGCAGTGAGACAATTCTTCAAATTTGACCAATGAAAATGCATGTTATAAATATGCAGTGAGACAATTCTTCAAATTTGACCAATGAAAATGCATATTCCAAACAGGCAGTGTCACAATTCTTCAAACTTGACCAATGAAAATTGATGTAACTATGCTTACCTCTGTCTCAGTCTGTAAGTCTTTTGGCTTCTCCCAGCTCGACTGCTTGGTTACATTGTTATAGTAATAAGTTCTTCCATCTGGGGCTTTATGTTCAGTCCACGGTGATTTCTAGCATGAAAAAGTTTTAATTAACAATAACAATCCTTTTAAAATATTTGGTGTGATGTTGGTTGTTTACCCCCCAATCACGTCAGAAAGCCACATTTAATTTACGAGAACACAGTTCAGCCACCGCCTCATTCCTGGACAGGCTGTTAAGCAGTTCACCAGTAACAGTTGCATTGACTTTCACAAGGAACTGATAACTTCTGAACATGCCAGAGCAGAGGTACAGTGCGAGAGATCGTAGAAAAGATTTCATGATCAATCACAATGAAAATGACCTATGCCATTCGGGAGTCGAACCTGGGTCACCTGATTCACAGCCCAACACTCTACCTATTTAGCTAACAAGACAGCAATTTTAAAATATTTCCAAAATATCCAAGATAAATTCTAATATGAACATTAATATCCACAAAAGAATGTTACTAACACAATCCTGGAAGTGTAACAGAAAAATATGAACATGAAATAGACATAATACTGTTTATGATTAAGCTTTTTTTCCCTTTCTTTGCATTGAAAATTTAAATAACATTTCGAAAATGTTTTATGTTACATTTAGTAGTGTCAGGTATTTCATAAACATTTGAATTTGTGGACTGTTCAAAGCACAAGAAGCAAAGTTTAGTAAATGTTCCTTTAACATGATCAAATGTAGGCAAACAAGTAATTGTACAATAATTCACTTTCACTATATCTAATTATCTTAACCTGGTTGACCGTAAACATGTCTAAAATTTTCTTGGCGATGAGGGGGACTCCGCCCCCCTTCCAACCCCCCAAACAGAAGGGGGCACATCCCCCTTCTGGCAACCCCCTGATGTAATATTTCGATGGGGGACGGCGCCAAAAAAGTGGTCACTTTTTTTAACAACATTTCTCAGACGGAAAACAGTGTTTGGGGCCTAAATAGGGCATTTTTTCACTGTTTGAGGACTCAAAAAGGGGGGAGGGGGGCAAAAAACCGTCGAAACACGCTTATATAAGGGAAAAGGTTAAAGGACAATCAAAAGTAATCTAAATTGTTAAATATACATGTTTGTGGAGATAAATAATATGCTACCTTTTCTGGTTTTTGATCTACCTGTCCTGGTGAGCTGGATGCAGCATTTGCCTGTTGTACACTAGCAACCATTGGATTACCTGGCCCTACAATAAGTTAATATAGCAAATTACACGTTGTACACTAGCAACTATTGGATTACCTGGCCCTACAATAAGTGAATATAGTAAATTACATGTTGTACCCTAGCAAATTACATGTTGTACGCTAGCAAATTACATGTTGTACCCTAGCAACCATTAGATTACCTGGCCCTACAATAAGTTAATATAGTAAATTACATGTTGTACGCTAGCAACCATTGGATTACCTGGCCCTACAATAAGTTAATATAGTAAATTACATGTTGTACGCTAGCAACCATTGGATTACCTGGCCCTACAATAAGTTAATATAGTAAATTACATGTTGTACGCTAGCAACCATTGGATTACCTGGCCCTACAATAAGTTAATATAGTAAATTACATGTTGTACGCTAGCAACCATTGGATTACCTGGCCATACAATAAGTTAATATACTAAATTACATGTTGTACGCTAGCAAATTACATGTTGTACGCTAGCAAACATTGGATTACCTGGCCCTACAATAAGTTAATATAGTAAATTACATGTTGTACGCTAGCAACCATTGGATTACCTGGCCCTACAATAAGTTAATAAAGTAAATTACATGTTGTACGCTAGCAACCATTGGTTTACCTGGCCAAACAATAAGTTAATATACTAAATTACATGTTGTACGCTAGCAACCATAGGATTACCTGGCCCTACAATGAATTAATATACTAAAATACATGTTGTACGCTAGCAACCATTGGTTTACCTGGCCCTACAATAAAATAAGTTAATATACTAAATTACATGTTGTACACTAGCAACCATTGGATTACCTGGCCTACAATAAGTTAATATAGTAAATTACATGTTGTACGCTAGCAACCATTGGATTTACCTGGCCCTACAATAAGTTAATAAACTAAATTACATGTTGTACGCTAGCAACCATTGGTTTACCTGGCCCTACAATAAGTTAATAAACTAAATTACATGTTGTACGCTAGCAACCATAGGATAACCTGGCCCTACAATAAGTTAATAAACTAAATTACATGTTGTACGCTAGCAACCATTGGATTGCCTGGCCCTACAATAAGTAAATATACTAAATTACATGTTGTACACTAGCAACCATTGGATTACCTGGCCCTACAATAAGTTAATATAGTAAATTACATGTTGTACGCTAGCAAACATTGGATTACCTGGCCCTACAATAAGTTAATATAATAAATTACATGTTGTACACTAGCAAACATTGGATAACATGGCCCAACAATAAGTTAATATACTAAATAACATGTTGTATGCTAGCAACCATTGGATTACCTGGCCCTACAATAAGTTAATATAGTAAATTACATGTTGTACGCTTGCAACAATTGGATAACCTGGCGATACAATAAGTTAATATAGTAAATTACATGTTGTACACTAGCAACCATTGGATTACCTGACCCTACAATAAGTTAATATAGTAAATTACATGTTGTACGCTAGCAAACATTGGTTTACCTGGCCCTACAATAAGTTAATATAATAAATTAAATGTTGTACACTAGCAAACATTGGATTACCTGACTCTACAATAAGTTAATATAGTAAATAACATGTTGTACGCTAGCAACCATTGGATTACCTGGCCCTACAATAAGTTAATATACAAAATTAAATGTTGTACGCTAGCAACCATTAGATTACCTGGCCCTACAATAAGTTAATATACTAAATTACATGTTGTACGCTAGCAACCATTGGATTACCTGGCCAAACAATAAGTTAATATACTAAATTACATGTTGTACGCTAGCAACCATTAGATTACCTGGCCCTACAATAAGTTAATATACTAAATTACATGTTGTACACTAGCAACCATTGGATTACCTGGCCCTACAATAAGTTAATATACTAAATTACATGTTGTACGCTAGCAACCATTGGATTACCTGGCCCTACAATAAGTTAATATACTAAATTACATATTGTATGCTAGCAACCAATTTGGATTACCTGGCCCTACAATAAGTAAATATACTTAATTACATGTTGTACGCAACCATTGGATTACCTGGCCCTACAGTAAGTATATACAGTAAATTACATGTTGTACGCTAGCAAACATTGGATTACCTGGCCATACAATAAGTTTATATAATGAATTACATGTTGTAAGCTAGCAACCATTGGTTTACCTGGCCCTACAATAAGTTAATATAGTAAATTACATGTTGTACGCTAGCAAACATTGGTTTACCTGGCCCTACAATAAGTTAATGCAGTAAATTACATGTTGTACGCTAGCAAACATTGGATTACCTGGCCCTACAATAAGTATATACAGTAAATTACATGTTGTACGCTAGCAACCATTGGATTACCTGGCCCTACAATAAGTTAATATAGTAAATTACATGTTGTACGCTAGCAACCATTGGATTACCTGGCCCTACAATAAGTTAATATACTAAATTACATGTTGTACGCTAGCAAACATTGGATTACCTGGCCCTACAATAAGTTAATATACTAAATTACATGTTCTATTTTTTTTCTGGTTACTTTACAATTTGTCATACAATTTTACAAATTTAAAAGCAAAAATTAATGACAAGATTAAATAAGCATTATATTTCAAATTTTCTTTGTTAATATTTTCTATTGTAATACAAAACACTTAAAGTTTGCAAAATATGTTTTGTTTTGCAAATTTTTAACTAATTTTTGATCAAATCGTGATGGTCTGTCAACCTAACCGGATTTCTTGGATAGCTAAGTACAGCGTAGTACATACAAATTACTCCACTAAAAACCCAGCAGTGGACCAAGATAATATCCAACATTAAATGCCTTAAATCACAAATATGTTAATAACTAAGAAAGTTTTGGTGTAATAAATTTTGAAAATGTAAGAAATATGTAACATTATTCTCTAAATAGAGTTTAGATTTTACCTGGAAAAGGTGGCATGCCAATACCTGGTGGTGGCATCATAGGTGGAAATCCTCCAGCACTAAAACCTATAAAATAACAATTGCATTTCAATTATGGTCATACTTTATTACATCCATAGTTTACAGTTTTATACCTATACTCATTTTTGAACAATTAAAGATAAACTATGATCATCCTTCAGTAAAATACTCAATCACAGAATTTTATTGACATCTGCGAAATTCTTACTGAATATGTCTTATTTGAATATAAGAATGAATAAACTGTGTACTGGAAGCTGCGTTCCCCATTCTTTAAAATATTTTTGATCTTTTCAACTCTAAAAAAACTTCAGTCCCAAAAATTATTTTCATACTAATACTATAAACCTTTGTTTGTTTTAAACAAACATTTCATACATATTGTTTTTATCTTAGCCCAATTGCAAAACAAGTTCTTGCAATTTTGAACTTATATTAATCACTTTCTAGTCAACTTCCAAAAAAACAACCAGTACTGGTGTGATATGAAAAAGAAAACATGGTTGTGACCCAATTAGGGCTTGAACCCATGATCCCTGCATTGAGAGGCAGACATCTTAACCACTAGCCCACTACTCCCCTTGCTTACATCGACTTATATAATATTAATATTCAAAAAGGTATAATTTTGATAGTCAAAAGACCTTTTATGAAAGGAGGAGCTGTAACTAATACAGCTATATATTATCATCATATCTAGATTAGGAATATAAAAACAGCTTACCAGGAGGAGCTGTAACTAATACAGCTATATATTATCATCATATCTAAATTAGGAATATAAAAACAACTTACCAGGAGGAGCTGTAACTAATACAGCTATATATTATCATCATATCTAAATTAGGAATATAAAAACAGCTTACCAGGAGGAGCTGTAACTAATACAGCTATATATTATCATCATATCTAAATTAGGAATATAAAAACAACTTACCAGGAGGAGCTGTAACTAATACAGCTATATATTATCATCATATCTAAATTAGGAATAAAAAAACAGCTTACCAGGAGGAGCTGTAACTAATACAGCTATATATTATCATCATATCTAAATTAGGAATATAAAAACAACTTACCAGGAGGAGCTGTAACTACTGTCCTAGGATGATAACTTGAGCCTTTGTTTACATAACAAAGACCAATAACAATGCGAAAAATAGGTTAGGCAGATCAATGCCACAATCTATAAAAATGAAAATAAAACTACATGTTATCATATGTCTTGTTAGCGCAGCAGGTAGAGCAACCGTGTCAGTAATGAGTTTATCCGTACAGACAGAAGTTCGACTACTGGTACATTTTTTTTTACCTCAGAACAGTCAATTGTTTGACCGGTTTTATGCATACATGAATATGAGATCGAATATTTTATTTCACTGTGATCAAAAAATACAAAAAGAAAAAAGAATAGAAATAAAAAATAAATATATACTATAAAATATATATCATAAGAAGAAAACAAAAAGGAAAACGAAAATAAATGAATAATTATAATGATAAAAAAACAGAGCAAGAAGAAAAACCTGTTGTTATAAAATGGCACTACTTGGGGTTCGAACCTATGAGAACAAAACTCTAAAAGTTACAAATAATTTCGATCTACCGACAGAACCATAACGGTAATACGCAAACGATACTGTAAGAATAATGCTATATAGTATTTGTAAGTGTTTACTTTTACGATATCGGATAATAATCCAGATAACCCCGTTTTTTGACTTTCCCATGTACCGTTAAGACCAAATTATCATCCTAGGACAGTAATACAGCTATATATTATCATCATATCTAAATTAGGAATATAAAAACAGCTCACCAGGAGGAGCTGTAACTAATACAGCTATATATTATCATCATATCTAAATTAGGAATATAAAAACAGCTTACCAGGAGGAGCTGTAACTAATACAGCTATATATTATCATCATATCTAAATTAGGAATATAAAAACAGCTTACCAGGAGGAGCTGTAACTAATACAGCTATATATTATCATCATATCTAAATTAGGAATATAAAAACAGCTTACCAGGAGGAGCTGTAACTAATACAGCTATATATTATCATCATATCTAAATTAGGAATATAAAAACAGCTTACCAGGAGGAGCTGTAACTAATACAGCTATATATTATCATCATATCTAAATTAGGAATATAACTAGAACTGTGTCCAAAGGACACGGATGCCCCCACTGACAACATATATATGGTATATAGTGAAAAAATCAACATAGGGCCATAATTCTGTTAAATTTGGTCGCAGCAAAAATTCCTTCCTTTACTACCATTTACACATTAAGGTTGTTCATCCCTGGAAGTTTAAGCAAAATCTGCCATCCGGTTTAAGAGGAGTTGCGTTAACAAAATTTCTATATGGTATATAGTGAAAAAATCAACAAAGGGCCATAATTCTGTTAAATTTGGTCACAGCAAAAATTCCTTCCTTTACTACCATCTACACATTAGGGTTGTTCATCCCTGGAAGTTTAAGCAAAATCTGCCATCCGGTTTAAGAGGAGTTGCGTTCACAAAATTTTTACATGGTATATAGTGAAAAAATCAACAAAGGGCCATAATTCTGTTAAATTTGGTCGCAGCAAAAATTCCTTCCTTTACTACCATCTACACATTAGGGTTGTTCATCCCTGGAAGTTTAAGCAAAATCTGCCATCCGGTTTAAGAGGAGTTGCGTTCACAAGATTTCGGGACGTACGGACAGACGGACGGACGGACAGACAGACGTACGGACGGACAGACGGACGGACAAGTGCAACGCTTTATGCTCCCACTCTGTGGGCGCATAAAAACAGCTTACCAGGAGGAGCTGTAACTAATACAGCTATATATTATCATCATATCTAAATTAGGAATATAAAAACAGCTTACCAGGTGGAGCTGTTGGTGGCATCATAGGAGGCACAGCTCCATCAGCTGGCCCCGGGGGCGGTATAAATCCTGGGGGACCTGCCATCTGTAAATTTTATATACTTTTCTTTAGTTCAAGACAATGCCTGATCAAAATGATTACATATCTAGCATCAAAAGATGTTAAAAATATTTCAAATCATAATTTTTTAACATTTTATTAAGCTGAAATTTTAAAAGACAGGTCAGGAAATACTTTTACAAAGAATAAATCTGTACAAGTTGCATTGAACATTTCTCTAAGTAGTGGTAGTAAATTTGTTTCAAATGCAAATTCTATAGTTACATATTATACTAAGGTCCTCGAAATGACAACAAAAAACAAATTCAAATGTAAATAACTTGAAAATGTCAGAGCCTAAATTTTTTTACTCTTGAAAATGTTTCTGTGTAAAATGTAGCATACATGTATATATGTGTCAATATACACCTTTTCCTCTGTTATTGATCATATCAACTGAAAAAGCTTTATAATGCCTAACATGCATTGATAAACAATGTTGGTTTATGACTCTTTTTATGACTCTTTTTATAATATATTGTTGCATTAGAGCAATAAGTGATTAACTCCTATTATTAAATTTTGAAGGACTTATGCCGTTATTGCACTAAGGTGAAGATATGTCTATATGTAATTAATAGGCTAGCATATGCCTGTAAGATTTTTAATCCTGCTTAAATGTAAAGAAATATGTTACACTTAAAACAGGGGAGAGAACCAGGCATCGAAAATATTTTCAGAGTCACTCATCCTGCAGAAAAAGTAGCTTCTAAATTCAATATGCAAGTAACATTTTTCTACTTGTCCTGAATCAAGTTCTCTTAAATTCTACTCATAATTACAAGTGGATGGGTGGAATTTTCTGAAAGCCCATAAAAGATAAATGTAATAAATAACAGGGGGAGAGAACTCCTAAATGTAACTTACTGGAAATGGAGCTGGTGGTCTCATCATCGGAGGTGGCCCTGATCCTCCACCACTGTTCTAAATAAATGATAGAAATATCATTATCAATCAGTGTTCAATCTAGAATGAATTCCCAGGGGGAGGGGAGGCATAAACTTATCAAAAGGGGGTCATTTGAGAAAAAAGGGGGCCCACTTAGAATGAACATAAAATTCAAATAAGGTATTATACCTTTTAACTTTGTTGTTCCCACAACTGATATCTTTTTTATTCTCAAAACCTATTTATTTTTGGTATATTGTTATGGCATCCAAAAGCATACTCATTTACTATAAACATGAACTATCTTTTGTTTTGCATATTTAGTTCTGTTGGTATATTCTAGTGAATTAGTATTTTGTATGAAAAGTCAAAGTACTACTTTGTTTACATTTTGGTACCTTAAAGACACAGAGCTGCATGTTCAGGGCTACTTTTTCAGTGGCAAAACATCTAACATGCACTTAGACCACTTAATCCATTATCTAAACATCATTACACACATGATTATTTATATTTCTTAAGAATTAAAAATATGCAGATTTCTGAGGCATAATGTGCCTTTAAAATACTGTACATGTACAATATCATTGTAAAACATAATTCTATTGATAATATTCAAAATTTGAAATGGGATTCATTTAACAAACAAATTTATCACGATTTTTCTTACCAATTTTTAAGCAGAATGAAAATTGCATATTTTTTATTAATTCCATCATCATCGAAAATAAGCCAAGTTTTAAATTGATTATTTTTAAGCCATTTTGTTTGAAAATCCTAAAAATGAACATCAAGTAACTTAAATACTGCAAGGGTATTCTCTAAGCGAGTGTGTCCATCTGGCCCACACTTGAATTTTGTTTTGCACCGACAGTCTTTTCAGGGGGTCAATGGCGCACATTACATAGTCAATTCCAATATTGAAGAAAAAAAGTAAATAGATAATAACATAAAAGAAAAAAAAATAATTTCTTCCTATATACCTGCATGGAAAATAATTTTGCAGAAATTTAAAAATAAGACAGAATAGTTTGTAAGGGCAGCTTTAAACTAAAAACTGTCCACTGGTAGTAATTTAGACATTTCATCAAATAAATACCAAGATTGACAGTTTCCGAACTAGCAGACAACAGGCTTTTTTTATCAGTAGGACTTGTGAGTAATGATAACCGGTTGCGTACTTCCAGGGATTTACCGGACGCAGGATCCTGCGTCATATACGAATAAAATGCCATCCTGTACGCACAAAAAATAAATTCTGCGTACACATGGACGCAGAAAAATTGTGTAAAGTAACTGTCATTTCCATATTTTGAATAAATACTTAGTATCGTGGCCACACAAATATTGTTTAGAGTAACACTCCTTTCCGTATTTTTACGATATCTAAAATGTTTTGGTTAGCAGTGAAGGTCATTGGAATCACCAATTGGTATTTATAGTAACGCGTCAGTTTATTGGGTAGTTGATGTTCGCATTTAAAATACTGACTAATCATTAGTGAGCACCAACGTGTCCCGGATATTATTATCAGTCGGAGCGCTCGGTTGTTACCGTTATCTGTGACAGTACTTTCGGTTTAAACGATGGCAAAACAGACTGACTCATGAAATTTTTGGTGGGGATAGACACAAAATGTATTTAAATTTACGGTTAAACCTACCACAAGTCAAACAATTTTTAATGTTATATACAGTGAGATACACAGCCAGTTATCTTTACTCGCATATCTACTAATTAGAATAGCCTGTCGTCTGCTAGTTCGGAAACTGTCAATCAGTGTATTTTGTGAAGAAAGAAACACACAAACACAAAGCAAGTACTTAGCAAGTTAATAAATTGGCAATAAACATGACCTATATCAACTTAACAATGAGTCGCGAAAGATATTTAACACAGAAATGTTCTTCATTTATACAGCATAGATTTTAAAGTGATCACAAAGGATCGTTCGGTTGATTTCAAACCATATCCGAGTACACGTCTACTCAAGGTAATGTAACGAGTGTGACAAATGTTTTAGATATGCGTTCTTTAATCAATTATCGTAAATCAATTTTCGTAATGTTCACGTGTTTTTGCAATATTTTTTTTCTAATATTTGACATACATGTATATATATAATATATGAAATATATGTCTATTTCTATGAATGATAATGATATTGTGATGTTCTTTGTTCCTTTATTTGCAGCTGTCTGTTCTCCGTAGGAATGTCATTAGTTTAAACTTTTTATGTTTTTCTTATTTTTTTTTCTTTGCTTTTGTCATGTGACCATAGAATTATTATATTTGTAATTATTGCATGTAACGAGATACTGTAAATGTATAAGTTACCGAAATAAACTATTTTTTCTCTTCTTCTTATATTAATTGACATTAATTTTATGTTTATGATTAATCAACATATATAATTACTTTCTTGTAAATGTACTCCTGTAATAATGTTACTTTGATAAATTGAAAATCCGCGATGGGGGCTTTAAGTTCATGTTACTTGTATTAAGAAACATTATTAAATTATTGCCATTGTCAAATTATTAAAACAAAAGGAAAAAGTTTGTTGATAACTAAAAAAATCATTGTTAGATCTATAATCATACTGTGGCGAATCGTTATTTTACTGTGGCGAAACGTTATTACTCTGTGGCGAATAGTTATGTGGCGAATCGTTAGTGTGGCGAATCGTTACTAATTCCTACTCAAGACCGGTAAATAATTGTGCGCATATATATAAAACCTAAATTTGTTTTCAAAAAAATATTTTACACATTTTTAGTCGTATTATTTATCATACGCGGAAAGTCCGAGCGGGGCCGAAGGCCCCGCGAGGGCTGTAGCTCTCTTAGATAACATGTATGACGCGTATCAATTCAAAAGAAATCAAATTAAAAGTTAATGAAAAAATCAAAAAAATATATATCCCAAACCTAATGAGCTGCGAAAAAATCCTTAGTTAGCGGGCGCCGCCATTTTTGAAATCTATGTTGTAAAACGCTTGACAAGCGCCTCTTGTAAAACGCTTAACAAGCGCCTCAATGGCTGAATATTTAGACTGGTTTAAATGTTATGAATAGCGGGCGCTTTTTGATTTTCATTCCGAAAAGCGTGTAAACTACACTGATTTTTTATCATTAAACGGCCCAGTCGTCTGCTTTTTTATCGCTGTCGTCTCAACAGGCTGAACGGTACTATTTTGGCATAATTACATTTTCCTATTTAAAGTCCTAGAATTATATTTACTTTTGCATATTTGGACTACCACAAATTTTACATGTTTCCTTTTGTACATTTAAATATATTTTAACATTTTTAATTAACTTACTTATGCAAGTTTATGCAATAACTTGAGCTAGTCCTACTGGACTATACTGTATACAACTACCAGTTCTAAATATGTCTAAGTGAAATTCCAAGCATATTTTCACTTGATTTCAATTGATTTTTCTGAAGAAAAAAAATTCATAAAAATTATATAGACTCTACCAGATCTTATGCATTATTTTCAAACTTAATAATTGTCTACATTCAGCAAGCATACTGGTAAATAACTATGTCTATTTTCAACAAGCATAATTATTGGCTGGACAACAATATTGTAGGAAATCAATTCAAAGAACTTCAAACAAAAAAGTTAAACATTCAAATGAAATATACTAAGAAAACAATTATTGTACAGAAGTAAATAATGATTCACAGGCTTCTACACAGGTATATTTACTCTCTCCAAATCAATCTGAGCATTTACAATACATATGCAGGATGATAATTACAATGACCATAATTATTGTCTGAACAACAATGTCAACCACTAACTGATACACTTTCACAAATATAAATATCAGAGAAAATATACTTTCCATTATATCTCCAACAACGCATTTCATCACATTCAATTATTTTTCATTTAAACAACTGTTTCTTACAAGCATCTATGGACAAAACTAGATAATTTAAAAGGGATTAATAACAGAAGAAAAATGATTTTTCGGTGGGTGGTATGTCAACCACTAACTGATACACTTTCACAAATATAAATATCACATAAAATAAACTTACAATTGTATATGTACTTTCACCAATACATTCCATTACTAGTATTCATGTATTTTTCTAAATCTACATTAACCATGTTTTCATCTCTTCGTCTACATCTTTATCTCAACATTTTTTGTCATAAAGATTTTTTTAATTGATGACATGTTTATTATTTCTATGTTTCTTTTCAAAATATTCCATGACATTGAATGTCATCATGACATTTCACCACTGATTAAAAGAATCTGTCTAGATTTAGAATTAAACACCATGAATAGCTACAAAACTGTATATCAACTATTTATTTAGACACTAATAAAAAGAATTTAAAGTCCTACCCATATGTTGCTCATTTTGAATATTATCAATGTATTTTTTTCTTACTAGCATGCTTTTATTACTTATATATATATGTAATTCAAACATTCATGTTATTAATTCATTTTGCATATTTCTTTTATGATTATTAAGCTAAATTTTATCATTTGTAATCAATACTTTTAACATTTATTGATCACAGTTCTTGGAATTGGTTAATAGTTTGTCGAATTTTCTTTAAACATTGTCATATAAATACATTTTAATATATTTAAACTATGTAGTTTTTTTCACATGAAACAGTGAAAAACTTTTTCTGTTTTGTTCTTTTCACAGATAAATCATCTGATATTTGCAACTGACTCAAGAGGGCGTATCATATAAAAATTTGTATGATGGTGTTCATGCAGATGAACATCTAAAGAGAAATGGTTCACATTTCTTTGTCATTCTGTAGAAAATGATTTAAGGAATTGTTACAAAAATGACTCCAATACTGAAAGGTCTTGGGACTTTAAACAATAAAAAACATTCCTGTTACACAGTACTTAAATACATGCATCTTAAGGACAATCATCAAAATTTCAATTTAAATTTGCTTACATAACTGAACGTCTTAAATGTTAATAAATATTCTGTAGTGTGGGACATGTCAGTCTCTAACCAACAGAAACATTTAATTAAAAAGTATAAATCTATCGTTATAAAATACCAGCTATATATAAATACCAGCTATATTCAATAATTATATATAAATTAATAATTTAAATGACAATTGAAATTTTCTTATTACAATTATTATCAATGCTAATAAGATTCATTATTACCATTACATTGTGTTAGATAATGTAAATATTCAAAATATATACATGTATTTGTTTACTATATATATACATGTTTTTGTTGTTGTTGTTTTTTCTTTCATTTTTTAAATGTTGATAAATGTTCTGAAGTGTGGGACATGTCAGTCTCTAACCACCAGAAACATTTCTTAAACAAAAAAAGTATAATTCAATTTTCAAGGTTTATTATCTTTAAACACCAGAATATCTAAAAATGAAACAAAAATTCTAAAATCACATAATTTTGATCAGAGGTAGTGTTGAACATTATCAATATAATTCAGTTAGATAATTTCTTTGATACTGCATAATTTACATGAAGATCTACATGACTTTCCGCGCCATAGGTAGCACCTAATTTCATATTATAATCTAACATTTAAACATGAGATTTTGATATCAATTTTTAGCAAAAATCACAATAATAACTATAACACAATGATCGCGTTTTTACTCACCGCCATCTTGTCTAAATATTTAACGAATACCTTTTCAATTAAATTGTCATAATCTACTGTCAACATAATGCATATTAAGTAGTATAGTATGCAACACGGTTTTGTTTTATTGTGCTTCATTATTAGCATTCTGTAGCCAGGCTTTTATTATAAGAAAGCCCACAAACTCCCTACTGTAGGCTTTTATCTGTCAGATTAATTAAAGCAATTTGCCCTCCAGATTCATGTTAATTTTCATAAAAAAATTAAAATGTAAAGCGGCAATTATAAAATACACGTAAATTACAAAAATGTTCAAAATATACAAAATATATAGCGCTTACAGCGTTAGTCACGCACTAGAAATGTGGTGTTAAATATCAGTCATCAATGGCATAATATAATTCACAAAGTGATGATAATTTACCTCCATGCAATTTCTACGGAAAAATAATTAGCCAAATATATGAATTTTGATACGTTTCATGATACTGACATCAATAATATGAAATTAGGCAAAGCCTATGAACGGGGAAGTCGTTAAAAAATCCTTTCATTCTTTCCGTTTTAAAGGTGTCATTCGATATTACATACACCGCTTCCGTTTTCACTCGGAACACTCGACTATTATTACTAATCCGAAAAGTTGAGATTTGTTCCGTTATCGGAATACCCCGCCTATTATCATTGACATACATTGTAAATGGCGGCGCCCGACTAGAACTGACACTGAAAATTTCATTGATAGGTATAGAATTCTATATATTTTTTAATTGTTTTTTATTTGATTTTCTTTTAAATATACACGTGTAGTCTATAGCCGGGCAAGCCAAAGCCCGGGCCCGCTTTGCGGGAAAAGAGTCAACTCGGCCCTATACCAACTCGGCACGGGTCAACTCGGCCCACTTTACAAAAATATATAGGCCTATAACGCATTTACTTTGCTTTGCATGTTGTTAAGGTAAATGAATAATAAGAAATATATTATTATTATATAATTATACATTGTACCTCTGCTGAAATAAAGTATATTTAGAAAAAAAAGTTATTTATTTGTCTTGCAGATTCGATAAAATTAATAAAGACACAGGCACGATTATCGAACCTGGGAAGATAAAATATAAACATATTGATAAAATAACTTCATATTTTTTCTTCCCAGGTCCGATACTTGTGCCTGTGAATATAGATATAATAAAAATGTGTTTCCTTAGATGCATTTTGTTTGTAAAGTAATTTTCAAAAAAAAATTGAAACAAAAACGTGTTTACTTAATAGCATAAGCTTCTAATTAATTGCAGGTGGTCTCTAATCAAATTTGAATGAATGAGTCAATCATAATTATCACCTGATTAATCGGTATCTTTAACATACACATTGATTGATAATATGAAAAAGGCAAAGCCTCAAAGCGAGCTCGATGTACTTTTTACGTGAAATAGTATGAAGTAATCGCTCATTTTTATTTCAAATGCAGTGACGAGTGCGTGTGACGTCACAAGTACTGTGTTAAATATGGCTCCGCCCCTGTCGTGAAATGAATAACGAGTTTTGAAAACGTTTATAAAACTTTGTTTATTTTATTTCACTCTATAATTTTTCAAGCGAAATTAAGATTATTTAAAGTGAAATAAATGTAAAACTTAAAACGTTTGCGACATTAAATAAAATAGCGTACTTGATTTGTTTGTTTTGCACGTGCTGTTTGGCGCTACGTTGTGACGTCACGTAAACAATACTTTAAACGTCTGTACAGCGTTAACGACTGAATAAAAGATATTGGTGTTCGGATTTATTTTCTTAGTTAGACCATTTTCTTTCATTCTAGATAGTTTTCACAACAAAATTCGACAAAAAATTTGTTTTTATTTATCAGATTTCAAACAAAATGGCGCCTTCCGTTATTCTGGTTCCCTGTCCAATTATGGTCCCTTTAGACGTGCGCGGGTGACCAGTCTACACATCCGTTTTCAGTCAGAATTCCTCAGTTTTTATCGTTATCTTTAAATTCGAAAGGTTGCGATGTGTCCAATTCGGTACTTTGGACGAAAGTTTTCAAAACCATCACTTAGCAGGTACTCGCGTTACCGTAAAGCTCGCTTTGCGAGCAGGCCCTTCGGGCCAGCTCGTCGAGCTCGCTAATATTAATATGAAATTAGGCAAAGCCTATGAACGGGGAAGTCGTTAAGAAATTCCTTTTATTTTTTCCGTTTTAAAGGTGTCATTCGGTATTACATGCACCGCTTCCGTTTTCACTCGGAACACTCGACGTTTATTATTTATCCGAAAAGTTGAGATTTGTTACGTTATCGGAATACCCCGCCTATTATCATTGAGTTACATTGTAAATGGCGGCGCCCCACTAGAACTGACACTGAAAATTTCATTGATAGGTATAGAATTCTATATATTTTTGAATGCTTTTTTATTTGATTTTCTTTTAAATATACACGTGAAGTCTATAGCCGGGCAAGCCAAAGCCCGGACCCGCTTCGCGGGCCCGGTCTTTGACTTCCCCGTATAATAGCCCGTGACAATAGGAGTCCTTTGATGTCCTTTATCCATTTTTAAAAGTAGGCCAAGTTGACCCGCGCCGAGTTGGAATAGGGCCGAGCTGACTTGGGGGCCGAGTATGTTTTAGTGCCGAGCTGACCCGGATTCCGCTTTGCGGGCCCGGTCTTTGACTTCCCCGTATTAAGACTAACATAATCTGGAACAGTTCACAGCATTAATCTATTCCATAACTGAAGTATAAGAAAAGAGCACAAATACGGATAGATCTATCATTGTGAAACTAATGGGGAAAAACAACACCCAAAAACAACAACTTAATTTAATTTTTTTATACATTTCAGCCATTCCTCTGTTTCCTATGTAATCTTCACATTTTTTTCATAAATCTTGCTTTTCCGTTTTTTTGTTGTTTTATTTGTTGTTGCTTATTGTTCGTCGTCGTCGTTGTTGTTGTGAGTGTTGTTGTTTTGCAAGAAACTGTCCATGTTATCCCATGTATCCGTATATTATTTAACAATGTAGCCAACTAATTGGACTGCGCGACGAGATATTGTGCTATTTTGTGTCTGGGCAATAGCTAACCTCTAAAGGGGAGATGCTGACCCAGAACATAAATATCTCAGAATCAAGCTTTGGAACGTCAATATATTTTGACTACAGTATAATGGATGCTTTTGCCACACTCCCTCTAAGAGTTTTATCTACAAAGTTGTAGACACACTAGTTCTACACAATCATAATTATTATACATGATATAAAGCGATGCAGATGAAATACCTCCGGTGTTCAAAGTGAAAACCGGTTGTGTCTAACAGTATAATTTTCACATAGATATACTGATAAGAGGGTCATTTTTAGTTTAAAAAGCTATATTTAAACGGTTCATTGAATACAGGTGCCATATACATATAAAACTGGTATGTTATAATAATTTACTACTTATTTAATTAATTTACTACTTATGAAAAATATGAAATAGTTTAAAGTTTAATTAATGCTTAGTTAACATAAACTTAATTAATAGTAGCGTTTTTAACAGCTAAATATCAAAACGTTTAAATGTTGATCTTTAAGAGTTGTTTTGACTGTTGATATTATGAGAATATTATTCATTGTTCAGTACAATACTGAATTCTGTTGGAACAACTACACAGCTGTCAATCCTATATTGGATGAGCGGAGTCTAATATAGGTTTTGCAGCTGTGTACGAGTACTACAGATTCAGCAATGTACTTAACCATGTACATAATGAAGGACATATATACCATCAACCATCAACTTTTTAATATTTTGGCAGAACTTTGATAATTTGAGTACAATAAGGAATTGATATGATTTTTGTGGACTCTGAAAATGAAAACGAGGCTAAATGGAGTACAATAGCAATTTGAAATGGATTTTTGAACTCGGAAAAAAACGAAGCTTGATAGAGTGCAATATCGATTTGATATGGGTTTTGTTGGACTGGCAAAACGAAAACATTGCTAATTTGAGAAGATTTGATCTAATAATTATTTGTATTGGGAGATTGGATTTCATTTTATAAGGTGTGAAATGAAAGTATTGGCCATATACTTAATGTATTCTTGTGCATTTCAATAATAAGCTAACGTAGTAATTTTACGCTACAATATGCGAAACACACTTTTATCAATAAAGATGTGACACTACATGTGTCACCCAATTGACATGTGAATATTTCTGTACATTATTGTGACGTGGTTATATGATTATAAAACAATGTCACGTTGCATTTGTTTTTATGTATCCATAGTTATACATTTGTTTCGACTAATTAATTCATAAAATCTTTTTTTTATTTATCTTATTTTATAATAATGCACCGTTTTTTAATACTAATCAGCATATAACCCTACATAGAGCATGGAAAATTCAAACTAGATCTCTTTTTCACGCACAATTCATATTTCTACACAATTGATCGACCGACACGTGGTCTCCAGTAATAGGTGTACACATGTACTTATATCTATTATTTGCGAGAGCGTAACTTAACAAAGATCTATTTTTATAATTCAGGCAATACATACTCAACAAAAACAGATATATAACTATTAAAAATAAAATAAAAAAAACCAACAGCTAAAATTAGAAGAAGCATAACAAATTAAAACAAAATGAAGTGACATATGAAAGAATGCCTTCAGTGTTCCTTAATTCAATCAATCAATTAACTTTTTCATTTCTCATTTATATCACAAGTGACTCAGAAGGATCAATTGTTCCTGCACATTTCACCGTTTGTAAGTTTGGAAAGATTACTCAAAACATAGATCATCACCGGCATTCTGGTTATCGAGATAACAGGCGACTACATCACGCTAAACAGCCTGGGTGAGTCTTATTTTAATTCACAATCACTATTTCACGTCATGAATACCATTTAAACTTCTCGATTTCCTCTTGATTAAATTCGCAATCACCTTCTGTAATCACTATTTCAATCACAATTCAATTCAACTTCACAAAATAAACTCTGTTATCGAATCTAAGCTGAAATTTAAATTGGTGAATCGTAAAGTTAAATCGTAATTCATGAACTTTAAAATCATAATT